ACATTCTCCTTCTGATCTGGAGGGGAAGGGCTCCTGCGGGACACCCCCCTTCCCCACGAGAGCGCCTACTTTTAAGGGCGCCACCCTAAGTTGAGCCTAGGGCGCTATATACAAATGTAAATCCGGCCCTGATCATGAGAAAGAAAAACCTCTAAAGATACGGATTGCATTCAGCGAAAAGGAACCAGCGGGATTATAGTGTTGTAAAAATGTTGCTTCTTCAAAATTATCTAAAAGATCTCTAAGAGTAGCAAATAGTCCTTGCTTTCCACCAAAAACTTGTTAATTTTAAAGGAAAATAATTGTGTGAATTTTAACACCGTACATATCGACGGTGAAAGTCGGCAATCACATAACTCGTTTACGGTGTCTGAAAATCTCCGCCTCTACGTCATTTTTTTTGAAGGAGAGCAAATTGACATTATTTCTTGAAGTTTTTGCAGAATTTTCTTCGCATTGAGAAGAAAAATCATGACAGTTTTAAAGAATTGCCGTTGAGTAGTTTTCCATTTAAAAAATAAATTATGACAGGAAATCTGCGACGTCACAAACCGAGTTATGTGATTGCCAACTTGCACCGTCGATATGTTGATTATTTATGTAAAAGTTGCACGATTTTGAAAACACTGTAATCGCGCTGGCTCTTTTTGCTAAATGCGCACCATATGGCAACGAATGAAAACAAAAGTATGCTTGTAATAAACCATTAAAAATTACCGTATCCTCTAATCACAATTCTTTTTTCTGCTGGTTCAATGGCTTCGTGTCTAGCACCTTCAGCTAACTTTAGACAATGTTTAGTGTCCGTAGACGTCGTGGGATCTCCATGCTCCAGGCTTTTCCAATTTCCAGGGATTAGGGCCGGGGAGAATCTGTTTTAGCAGATCTACTCGTCAATTCCGTGAAAATTAGACGAACCCGGGACCTATTGACCTAGAGTTAGACGCGCTGACCACTAGGCCAACCTGACCGGCACCAACCCAGGTAAGACATAATATTTTTACAATATTGGGCAAATATTGTCAGTATTGTCGCAATATTTACACAATATTGACAATATTTTGGTAATATTTTAATCAAAATTATTTTTTTAAAAAATATTTAAAGAATCTTCATTCAGTATTTTTAAAAATCGATCGAAACAACTTTGAATCGATCGACAAACTCTTGAATCGATAGATAAAACCTTGAATCGATCAAAAAAGGCGTGAATCTATCGACAAACCTGCGAATCGATCTAATTTTATTGATCAAATCACGTCGATCGGTTTATGTTTTTATTTTTTAAAGATTCATGGTGCTCAAATGGACACAGGTTTTTTAATAATTTGTCGATCGAATCTATGTCGATCGATTCACACTATTATTTTTTGATCGATTCGCGTCGATCGAATCTGTACCCTTCGACGGCTCGGATCCGAGAAACGGGGCTTTATCTTCCAAAAACTCATTGAGTTCTTGTTATCCTGCATTAAGTTAGAGCCTGGAAACTCAAAAATTGAAGAGGATATGACGTCCTGAATTCCCTAGACAAAACTATCTGAAATTTAAGGTACAGTTTACAAGATAGTTTTCGGTCAACTTAAAGTTAAGAGTTTTTACATATTTACACGCACATACAGGAAAGGAGCAGATATCACTCTCTGAGGTGAGAAAATTAGACTAAAGCCAGATAATTACGGAAAAGGATCGACAAATAGGGTGTTCGCAACGAACACCTTAATAATCGATTCTATACCGTAGCATTGGGAAATATCGCGATAATTGATCATTCACACCTAGCCACACTGCACAAGACATGAACTGCGGAATCAATTACAACTTACAGTAGGGAATATGAATTAATAGTACTCGTAATAGATGTAAAAGAATTAATTGTCAAATGAAACTTTCAAATGTTACAATACGAACAAGTCTCTCTGATTCTCAACTCTTCATTTAAAGAAATTGCAAGAGAGGAATATGAATATTCCATACCTTTTTCGTCCGTATACGAACCGGATCCTAGGAAAGCACGCAAATTTTATGAAAATGTCAATGGGTGCGACTCAGCAAAACCTACTGATTTTAGACACTTCATGCGGAGCTTTATATGAAATGTTCTTGACGCAAGAATAATTTTTTTAGCTGCAAGTGTGAAACACTCAAGACGCACATTTCGAACATTTTATTCCGAGATTTATAAAAAAAAATTAAGTTTCCAGTCGTAATTCTGAAAAAATTCGCGTTCGCAGTGCTTCATGAGTGACACATGACATGAGCTCTCCCTATAAATAGAATGGAAGAGGAGAAAACAAGTCGAATTTCAAAGGGCGACGACGGTCACAAATCCCGATAACGTGCAGGTTTTTTACATTTTGTCGCAAAGAATCTACCACAATATGCTCCCAGCTAAAATAAGAAAAGAAAAAAAAATTGTATCCAAGACCAAAGCTGGAAAATGCGTACTTTCGTTACAGCGTTTCCAAATCTCCGAGTGTGGTGAATTTTTCAAAGCAGAACCACCCTGACCACCTTACCCACCCAGCCTGACACTTAATTTTTTTTTTATAACTTTCTGTGAATATTTTTGAGCGGGCGAAAAAATTCACTGAAAAGTTCACACTCACTTACCCAATACATTTTTTTTTTTTTTTTTTTTTTTGTCAAGATAAGTCATTTATTTAAACAAAATTGATGACAGAAAGTATTTAACGACATGGTAATAACTATAGTAATAAATGTTAGGTGGAGATATAGCTTAAGTTTATGGTATAGTATTATAGTAAATAGCAGATTGGAAATAGTTAATTAATAAATGAAGTAGAATAAGTGTGCAAGTAAAGTAATGAATTAGAAAATGACTTCCCGAGACACCCAATACATAACAACCTAATTTTTTCTTGCAATTTTCTGTGAATGTTTTTGAACGAGCAAAGAAAATTCATTGAAAATTTCACACTGAGAGGAATACTCTGGCCGTGGAAGCCGCAGTTATGGGTTATATAGACATACCGTCCACCTCAGAGGCCGAAAGGTCCAGGGTGTAGCACAGTGGCGTGGCGTGAATTGCGATATATCGATTGTTATGCCATTTAAACCTATGGAAATAGATGGATAAAGAGGGTGTTCGCAGCGAACACCTTAATAATCGATTCTTTAGCATAGGTTTATAACAATCGACATGGTATCATGGCATAACAATCGATATATCGCAATTCACGCCACGCCACTGGTGTAGCACCTGGAGCAATCGCAGCTACGGCTCCAGCACCCGGAACTGTTGGCCTCTGAGCCCGGAACAGACGATACGTCTTTATAGCCCAAATTATTTTTAAATACAAAAGTAGGTAAATGATCTTTGGTTTGCTTGTAAAAAATTGAATCAGGATCAAAGATATGTTACGTCCAAATCGGAGCCACGCATCTTTTGACCATCGCCATCAATATGATGAAAAAATCCGATCATAACCATTTTCATGGCTACATTGTTTCCAAAATTTATTCGAATGATTCTTTAAACTCGTGCGCAGGGGGTATCGTCCTTTTTTTCCTGAAAATTCGAAATCTGCCGAGAATTTTTATCAAAAAGATAAAAAAAAGCGACAAAAATGTATCCAAAAACGGTTTGCAGGGGGCGAGTCAATGGTACGTGTACACGTAAAATTGCGAAAAATCAAAATCTTCACTGATTCTTTTTTCGGAACACGCGATTTGAGATTTTCATAGTAAATGCAACTTTTCCACTGACTTTGATCCGATTTTTTATTCATTTGTACATTGAATCGGTGTTGATCGGTTAACGTTTTCATTTTTCGTTCGATTCATGTCGAACATACATACCCTCTCGTTACACGCACACTTCCCTTCATACAATTTTTTTTTAACGAAAAATTCGTCTTCAGCTGCGTCTGCGGCAATTGTTATTACGAATATGTTGTGCGTGCTCACAACAAACAAAGTAAGTTCGCTTGCAATTGACTCACCGAGTGGGATTTTCCAGTCGGAATAGCTCCGCAAGTCCCTTGCTTCGAGCTAGCCGCTGAAAACTCTCCAGAGAAAGAGTCAAAAAGTGGTCAGAAAAGCTAGTTTTTGACCAGTTTTTGACTGTTTCTTGGCTCAGGGAGCCTCGCCGAGTGTCGGGACCGTGCGGAATCGATTCTTCGCCTTCAACTACGTAGGATGCGACTGAAATCTCGAAATTTTTTTCTCACTCCCAAATCGAGGAAAATCGACAGGGGTTACATGGACTAAATTTTTAGCGTCAAAATCTAAAGTTCGTTGATCGGGTCGAAACCAAGTAAGCTCGCTTGGAATTGACTCGCCGAGTGCGATTTGCCAGTCGGAATAGCTCTGCAAGTCCCTTGCTTCGAGCTAGCCGCTGAAAACGCTCCACAGAAAGAGTCAAAAAGTGGTCAGAAAAGCTAGTTTTTGACCAGTTTTTGACTGTTTCTTGGTTCAAAAATGGCCATGTTGGTAAACTGTTGAGACCATGTTTTTACCAATAGGGTCTCAAATGCCCATGTTGGTATTAATATGATGTCAACATGATGTCAACTTGGGGTAAAAAACCAACATGATACCAAATATGGTAAGTCCCTTTATGATATCAAGGATCTTATGTTTCAATAAGTTCCTTCGGTGTTGAAGGGATGCCAGCTAGATGGCGAGAAAGTTGGAATTTAGTTTCAACTATATTTCAACAAAGTTTCAGGTTTCTTGCAACTTTTTGGTTGGAGAATCATGGGACCATACTGTGTCAAGATGATATCTTATTGGTAGCATGTTGATACCAGATACCATCGTGGAAACATGTTTCACTCACCATGTTGGGCTAGACCAACACGTTATCAACATGGTCATTTTTAGCAGGGAATGACCGGGGGCGTGCTTTCTAGTTTGCACCGAGTCTTTTGAAAATATCTATAACCATCTAATCTTAAAAAGCCCCGTGGATGTAGAAATCTTCTTGCCGTCGTGATATTAGGTATTTGAGAAAATTTGAAATAACAAAAAAGCAGTGAAATTACAAAGAAATTAGATTTTTTTTTTCTTCATGATCAAAAACACACAACTGACACTTATTAAAAGAGGGGTGTGATGAAGTGTGTGGATGTAAGAAGGAAGTTCCTAATTAGAGTACTTGCTACACATTTTCAGTAAATGCAGGATAGCTATACAGAATACACAAAATGATAGGGTGCCAAAAGACAGCTAAACATCTAACGACTGTACACTTGTAGAATATGATATGTCACAATATTTAACAGTGTTCTCTAGAGGCTAATAAAAAAGAATAAATAAATTACAGAAGTGTCTTGATCATCTTTTGAAAGCAAAATCACTCTCTACTCGACCCTTTTTTGAGGAATCATTCCCCACTTTTAGAAAACGAAATTTCCATACTCGGACAAATGACAGGAAGTAATCTCAAGGAGGAAAGGAAATATAGTTTCGGTAATAAAATTATAGGAAACTTGAAACCTATGTTTTTTTTTTTTTTTTTTAATATTTGTTTGGGTGTTTTGGTTCCTTTGAAAACTATTTGTCCATTTTTCATTCATTGTAAAGAAGAATGGGCGAAGTCTCAACAAATTCGAAAAATTACATTAATGATCAGTACAAGGACGATTTTACAACAAGAGGAATTAATAGTTGTGTCGTTCAGCTGTGGGTCATGAATGATCGACTATCCATATTTCCTCATTTGAAGCTATGGTAAAGAATCGATTATCAAGGTGTTCATTGCAAACACCCTGTTTATCGATCCTCTTCCATGAGTTTAAACGCCAGATCAATAGATATATCGCAAAGCATGCCGTGCCACTGGTATTGTTGGTCGTCATGAGCAACTGACAAAAAAATCGGAAACCGAGTGATATGAATAGGAAGTGATGATCCTTGAAAGTTTTCACGCCAACTTATGATTACATTTTGAATTGAGTATGGATTAAATTTCTGGACGATTCAAGTCTTGACCTTCGATTTTTAAGTACTGAATGGCAATAAATTAGTGATGATCGTGGATTTCGATACATGTTTCCGATGTTGACCGAAGGAGTCGATACTTAACTTGATACCATAATTATTTTTTGACTAGTTTTTGATGAGTATTTGCTCACTGAAGACTTTAAAACATTTCCATTATATAGTGAGCATTTCCAAAAAGTAGGGTTAGCACTTACTCTTTATACTTTTCTAGCTTTCAAATCCTACTGATACAAATTAGCTGCGAAAAACTCAGGAGATAAAATTAAATTAAGTTCCTTAAAATTGACAAGTGTATACATACAGTGATTCTGTAAAGAGACATTAGAACAGATTTGATTGTAAGCGTGTTTTATCTAACCGGCAGTGACTTTATTTGATTCGTTTAAAATTCAATATATTTGAAGTTTTCCCCAAATCTTAAAATTTACAAACAGATTAGTTCCTAACTTATCAACCAACCTCAGGAATTTAACCATCCAAACTCTTCTATAATCAGCTACGAGATTGAATTGAGGCATGGACACTTGCTTGGAGGGGGTTGCTTATTAACAGGGCCCAAAAATAGCGATAACTTTGGATGAGAGGGGGTTGCCACCATATTTTGACGATTTTCACCTGGTCCTCTTTCTGTCAACATCGCCACTGATAACGGATGTATGCAGGACGGAATCATCGTTTATTTGATGTTCAAATTAGATTTTTAAATGAATTAAGTATATTTGTTCTCCTAGTAAATTTTACCCCTACTGAGATTAAATAAAACTGAATTTTTAGTTATATTATCATAAACCTGCTTGGAGCATCCGCCATTTGTAGCCCTGGAGAGTTACATGTAGCCAAAAATGGCTGAGCCAGTCAGAAATGAATCTTGCAATGTCCATACTCTCCATACTGCCACGCTAAGAAAGAACGATGTATGAACCTTGAGGTTATGCCAAATTTCCTCTGGCAAATCACTAATTTTCAGATTTGTTTTTAAATATTTTTCTGCCAATTTCTCAGACAATTTTACTAGTAATTTGATCGAAAATGTCTGAAAATTTCAAGGAAAAATATTAACAATAATCCTCAAAAATAAACATTTTATTGTGGGAGATTTGGCAACTCTCGAATGTTCATACGGCACTCTTCCTTAGCACGGCAGCATAGTAGGCTGCTCTAGACGTCTTATCATCCGCGACAACGTCAGGTAAGTATATTTTTCCACTGAGAAGCATCTACAAAAATCATTTTGAAGTGGGGAAAAAGAAACGATTTACCCTGGGTCTTATTCTTTTTGGGCCACAGGCAACCTATGTAATAAAAAGACTGAGCGTTTTCATAAATTACAGAATTACTGTATCCTGACTTCCATTAACACTTAATGCACTATCAACAAATCTATATACTTGAGAACAGTTTATGTACATAAAAAAATAAAACCTACAGCGAAAAAACATTGATGAATCTGGAGATCCAAACGAAAAGAAGACTTTATGAGATGTACAAAATTTGTGAAAAATTGAACTAAAAAATTGAAATTTTGATAAATGGCATTTCTAGGGGTCTAAAAAATTGTGATTATTGCAGTATGCAGAAGGGTGCAAAAATACCCACATGAAAAGCATTCAAAAGTATCAATTTTATCGTACCTAAATATAAACTTTTAAAGTCTTAACGTTTTTTCGTTGATATGATATACTCTCTCCTAAAAAAAATTAAGATAGCTAAAGGGAATAGGCATTACCAGAGTGTCTGCTGCGATCTTTCATCACTTTTTAGAAACTGAAGTTTGGGACGATCTCTAGTGATTTCAATTTGATCTCTTTCTGATTTAAAATACAATGATTTTGTAAAGATTCGGACGAGGTACACAAATTTTATAATGATTTTGCTCTCCTTCAGAATTTTTCTGAAGTCGAAGAAAGTCAAAATTGCACATATATCAGAGATCCTGGACAAAAATCGACTACAGAATAGTCGTATCAGAGCAGGGTATGCAGCCATATTAACTTTTCTTCAATTTTGATTGGCTTTTAATGTAATTGAAACATTTTTAACTTACTTCAAAAAAAATTCCGGGAAAATTAAGCAGCCCCTCCAAAATTTTCACGATCAGTAAACACCCTGGTTTGACCATTCTGGTGATAAATACATGAGTATTTCGTACTGAAATAATGATATTGGAGTTCAGATGTTCATGCAGAGAGAACCAGTGATATTTTAAAGAATTTTGGAGTAGGATATAAAACATCACTAGGACAAAGTAAGGCTGCAGAGATTTCATGCACAAATAATTTGACCAGAAGAATATTGCAGAAACATTACAATTTGTCATCCTTAAATGGATAATGGGAGATAAAAGGAAGTTAACTCGTATGAAAGCATTTCGAGAATAGATTTTGAATAGAAGGTAAAATACCTCGATGAGTAAAGCATCGAAAAGAAAGTTTGACTCTTGAAAATCCACTGAAGGCTGGCTCTGCTTTAAAAAACAAAGAAAAAGTGATTTTTTTTGGTAGACTTTTAAAGACAATTCGCTGACTTAAAAAGCATGTGCAGAGGTAATTGCCAAAATTGACAAAGAATAAGTGACACTGATTTTTCAAGCAAAATAAAATAGATATAGAACAATGTTCCAGAATTGAATCGTTGTTCAGAATGTTAACATGATCATTCTGGAAGCAATTTATTCCTCAGTTTTACCATGAGTGCCTATCTTTTGTTATGACACAAAAATATGAGAAACAATGAGTTCCGCCGTATTAAAGCACGTGCTAAGAAGTGAGATTCCAACTGGAAACATAATTTAAGAATATAGTGATTCTTTGGACTCTTTTCAGGCATCCTTGATATTTTTCTTGTGATTTTACTTCCTGCAACTATGATACTTAAAATAAAAATAGTGACCAATGGCACTATTGACTAGAACAGTTATAAACAATGCTTTTAAAAAAAGAACATTTGAAGTAAAAAATTCTAGGAAGGACTATTTCGGTAATGAACAGAAACACAAAATTTGTAAAGCGTAATGAAATGTCCGAGAGCCCTTGGGGTTCATCTTTTTTTAGGAAGTGATTGGATTCTCCCAGTAAAAAAGGAAAATTAATTGCTGAATGTGGTCAACAGACTTAGATGAGTGCTTTCCGATAGATTCTGAATTAAAATCAATATCAGAGCTAGAAAAGAAGATATGTACATGAGAAGTTCTCGACGATATAAGTATGATTTCAAATTAATTGCTTTCAAAAATATATTCTAATCTCGTCTTTTGGGAGAATGCCTCTATCTATCACAAAAAGGACAGTGTGGGTTTTAAAGCAGGGCTGCTCAGAAGTATAAAAATGAAGTATGTTTTCGATGTCTTCTTATTTTCTGTGAAAACGTCGAAATGGCTCTCATGTGTTTAGATATTTCATTCAAGTAAAATTTCCATGATGAAATTGGACATTTGTTTCTTTTCCTGCTGAAACACTACACAGAGAGAACATGGTACATCAAACCAGGCCATTTATCCAGACTAGTCCCTTAGAAGTGAAAGTGTGAAAGTGTTTCCACAAGAATTTGGAAAAACGAGAAACATAGCCAACTAAAAATGGGCATCATACCTCAAGGTCAAAAGTCGACTTTGATGTTAACAAATTTTGGCAGCAGCGAGTTAATTTTCCACCATATTTTTTTTTTCAAACTGAGGACCAGCAAAGTCCTTGAATTCATAAAAAAATCGGACTATCAAAAAACATTTTAAAACCTGAAACGGCAGCCCTGTTAAAGTGAAGTTTTGCATTATGTCTGCAAGAAATATTGCATCACTCGCAAGAAGTCATATTGGTAATCACCAACTTTTTCAAGTGGGTGCGTCTGCAAATTGTATGACAAACGTGAGGAGGCAAGCACATTTGAAGAGACGCATGATTAGATGCATTGATCCGAGGAGTCTTCTACAAATGACAATCGAACATGATAGTCATTATTTAAGGTCAAGTCTGAAATGCAGCCAGTGATTCCGCGGTGGTATTTCTTGTGCGTTGTCATCTCGATGTCATCTACTCCACCTGATCATAAAAAGACAAATAAGGATCATTAGAGAATTATTTTGAGACATTAAGTTTGAAGAAAGCTCGGAGTGCCTACCTTGGTCCGTCGGCTTTTTCAGACTTATTTAAGGGACTTGGAGTGCAAGGCGCACAAGTGCAGATTTTGTTATTGGGAGAAATACGTGTTTGAAGTTTCAAAGTTACATGGATCCTTATGGCGAAAAGGAAGTTCACACTGATTTTTTTATGCTTAAAAATTGGAAGTCGAGGGCGAATTTTTCACAGAATATGCATTGAGACTAATTTCACTTGAAATCATTAATATCTCAATTTGCTCAAAAATTACACTTATGCACCTTGTCCTCCAAGCCCCTCAAATGTAGTTTCCGCTGTTTCAACACATGCATGTTTTAAGTTTCAAAATTACATGCAGCCTTAGGGCTGAGAGAGAATTCCAACTCACTTTTTGATGCTTAAAATTTGGATTTTGGTAGTGAATTTTGCACAGAATATATTTTAAAATTACTTTCAATTGGAATCACCCCATTGTACCCTATTTTTTTCAAAAACTGCCCTTACGCCCCTGCTCCTCCAAGCCCCTTATTTGAATTTTCCTCATACCGAAAGTGATAGGTACTTACAAAGTCAAGCCTATCAGAAAAATGATTTGGTGAAAAATAAATTGACTAAAAAGTCTTTCCACCAAAGAAATATCAGTTTGAATAATCACCTCGTGGATTTATGTTTATTTAATATAATGCTCAAATTTTTGAGCTTCACCGCTAGGAAAGTAACTTTTAACTAGGAGCTGTGAATATTCGTAGGGCAACACTGCAATGTCTGGCAAGTTTGTGTCGTTTTGGCGAAACGCAGCGTGAGCGGTTGTTTGGCAAGTTCGTCGTTTTTTCTAAAGATTGGTCATTTTCACTGGCAACACTTTTTCGAGCACTCTTTTTGTGCTGGTCTAACACCAACTCGAGTTAATTTGTCTAACTGGGTAAAAACATGACTGTTGCTGTGAGACTATCATGTAGACTTTCAGTAGAGCATGCGTTTTCAAAACCTCAAATGTAAGTACGGTTTTCTAGTTTTAAGAGTGATCTAACGCCCAAAGTGTCGGCTTGACGATGTTCGCACAAAATCACACGTTAATACTAAAAAACATTTAAGCACACAAATTTTTGATGAAATATGTTCCCTACAAGATAAAATCGAAGAGTTGACAATGTTAGCCACATGTTTCCCTAAAACTCGTCTATCTTGAAAAAATGACCAACTCTTCAAACTCTCATTTGAAATCAAGCTTTACGACTTAATCTCAGTGCATAAAAAATTCTGAGAAAATAACTTTAATTAGTGCCCAATTTCGAATTAATGAAAACTTGCTTTTTCCGGATGAAGTTCTGCAGAGATTTTCCCGAGAACTTCCCGAAAAAAAAAACTTTCCGAGAAACCTCATCAGCAGTTTTAAAATGAAAAAGGATATCCTAAGTAGCATTTTTCCACGGAAAAATCGTGCTATTTTTACATTGAGTTGCGATTTTTTTCAATTTGTTGGCGATAAAATCGCAAGGATCATTACCATCTGAGCAATTATCCTTACTCTTGTTGCAGTTTTATTTCTATAAAATCGCGTTTAGTAAAATCGCAATTTTATCTCAATTTTTCAAGACTTTTTGTTCGATAATATTGCGATGAATCGCCGTTGATAAAATTACGATTTTATTGCAAATTTATGTGATGTAATCGTAATTTACCGGAATTTCTTATCCAATGATATTGCAATAAATCGATGTCTAAGAAATTGCAACACATTTGCCGATCAAAGTACGACATCGCAATCACATCTACTTATGGGAACAGTTTTTTTTTTCTTTTTCTTTATTTTTTTGACAGAATTTAAAAATTTTGCTCTTACGATTTTACGTTTGATCGAACAGGATTGGTGGTTTATTTAGCAAATCAAAGAGAGTTTCACGAATAACGGAACAAAATCGTGCAGTTTTGCAAATAAAGAGTCAAAGAAATCGCCAGAAATCTAGAAAAAGAGAGGCGTATTGCGGATGGATATTTCAACGAAGATTTTGTTCTAAAACCGCAGGAGCACTTACCAACAAAGAGTCCTGTATTGGTGTTTAACTGTCTAAGCTTGCCAATAGAGCTTCCGCTGACCATTTCATCATTGTCCAAGGAGATCATTCCGACTTGCCCGTCCCTGTAGTCCGAAAACATTAATTCACAGATTAATTCTCAAAAATGTATTTTCATTGTTGATACTCAAATTCAAATTCTCGCCCTAAGACTTGACAAAAATGCATGTTTTTGAGGCTGAGTGTAAAATTATTTCTCTAGCATTTCACAGAGATCTTTGATATTTTGCTCTCATGTTCACAGTATCATCGATGGAGTTTTACAAAACCTGGGATAATTTTTTCTTTAAACCTGCATCTCATGGATTTTTCCCGTGATTGTGCTCATGAAGGACATACATGTGCTGCTAGATGAGTTGGCAAAATCATCTCTGCTCCATAATGAGAGCCAAATTCTATCAATAAGTTGCCCTCTTCTTAACTCTGTTCTAAAAATCTCTTTCACTGACGCAGAATTTGCACACAAATTTTTATTTCTTCATCTGAGAGTGATATTAAAGGGCTGATTTCGCAGTAATTTTTATAATTTTTTTTTTCTTCTTTTTTTTTTGGCGTGGGAAATAGTATATAAATAGATTTAAAAGTGAAAAATGCATTGCCTAGTGACGTCATCTGGCAGCATTTCCCATTTAAACATACATATTTCAGGGGAATAATTCATTTTGTCATACTTGCTCCAATAATAATTGTTCAAACAATAAACAAAGGGTATCCTCGTGTTCAACTCACTCATTGTCAGTCATTTCCGATTGAACAAGAAATTAATCTTTCCGACACCGGTAAATTCTCCATCACCTCATAAAAAGTGCACAAATTGCAAAGTTCCGTATACTAGATTGCCTCTTCTTGGAAAGAATTTCATTAAAAAACTCCTTCAATTTTGACAGCTGCAATCAGACTTACATTCAACCTCATCAACAATCTTCTTCTCGGTCTCACCTGTAGATCTTGACACGATACCCGTGAAAAAATTTCATTAAGAAACTCCTTCAATTTTGGCAGCTGCAACCAAACTTACACCCGACCTCATTAACCATCTTCTTCTCAGTCTTACCTGTAAAACTTTAGACGATGCCAGGGAAAGAATTTCATTAAGAAACTCCTTCAATTTTGGCAGCTATAACCAGACTTACATTCAACCTAATTAACAACTGAATCAGTGAGAACGAAAACACACCAACTCGAAAAAATGGAAATTATCAAGATACACACAAAATTGCATATTAGGTGAGGAAGTAAGTGTAAGAAAAATATTTTTGGTGGCTAAAAGCAAGTATTTAAGGAAACTTTAAATATCCAAGTTGGCACAGATACGGTAAATTCCATGACCTTTATGAAAATTGCCTGTCCTTAGTGAAAAAAGAGCATTTTCGAGGTACCGAGTTGGTGTGTTTTCGCTCTCACTGATTCAATTTTCTCCTCAGTCTCACCTGTAAATCTTGACACGATGCCAGTGTCCGTCGTTGACATGCGTATGATTATACTGGATGAAAACCTCTCCACTGCCGAGATTGTACCGGAGGTGCAGGAGGCCACCGGAGATGCCCACAGCAAAAAAGTCGTTGCCTCTGTCTGACCGCCCGCTCCACAGCAAAAGACCAGATGAAGAGTATGTTTTGAACCGCATGTTGATGCTCAGCTTGTCGTTAACGATCCTGAAAAACAGAAACATGGACCATTCAGAAAACAACACTCCTTGAAATTGCCTTCAAAAAAATAAAATATCTTTAAGGAGAGTGCTAGTCCCGATCTTCACCATGTAAATTGCACTGATGTTAACGTACACTTTGCAGAGGTTCTAATTGACGGATTTTCAAAAACTTTGTTTGTTTGATTGCTTTGACTTTGTCTTAACTTTAGACGAACAGATTTTGAAAAACTATATAAAACTATAATTTGAAAAATTATAAAACTATGATTTAAAAACTATTTTTTTAAAAAAAATTAAAAAAATAAAAAAAATTAGCAAAAGAGACCTTTACACTCATTTTTTTCCCTTTAGAAAAATGATTTGAACAAATCTGCCGTGCTGAGGAAGAACGCCGTATGAACCTTTAGACGCTGCCAAGTTTCCTTCGATAAAAACCGACTTTTTTAGAAAAATTAAGGTTGTTTTTTTTTCCAAAATTTTCAGACAATTTTACACGCAATTTACTCTAAAATATCTTAAAATTTCAGAGAAAAATAAGCATGTTTAATCAAGGGAACTTTGGCAACTCACTAATGCTCATACAGCGTTCTTCCTTAGTACAGCAGAAATCCTCTCGTCTGTAGTTAGAGAGGAAAGTAACGGAAAAAAATAAAAAGAAAGTTTTTGCAAATCTATTCTTTAAATCCTGAGGAAAGTGTACCTTAAGGTTAAAAAAAAACGCTGTTTAGAGAAAAAACCCATTTAAAGTTTTGAACAAACATAAGGGCTGCATCACCTAGTTTGTCACAAAACGTTGCACAACTTATTCAATAATGATAAGATTTTAAAAAAATTGGTCGTAAAATACAGCTGAGGATATGTAGAAATTTATTAGAAAAAAAAACCGAAAATAATTCTTTTGAAGAAAGAAAAAAATGTCTGTCGTCTCCTCTGATTTGTTTGAAAATTAATGTTTTTCCTTAAAGTTCTGAAAACTGATCTTCTACTATGTTAGAAAATACATATATTTTTCAAAAATAATTTTTGGGCGTAGGTAGGAGATACAACATTTTTCTTCAATTTTGCAAAGTTCCCTTCTCTGAAAAAATATTTACAATGGAGATGAATGATGATCTCTCTAAAATTTGAGAGAATAATTTTTCATGGTCAAATGTCTGAAGTTTATGTGAAAAAATACGTGTAAAAGTGGTTTATTTAGCATGGATTTTGAAGTACTAAATTTTTTGGACACCGTAAGCCTCATTTAATGATTTCTTCCAATGTCTGTTTGAATTATAAGAGATGCTAAGATTTATATGCAGCAGGCAAGCCCAATCGCGACTTAGAACTCTTTCAAATGCTCCTTCAAATATAAACAACTCCGTCATTGCTGATATTGCTTGACCCGGAACTGCTATGTCTGATAATCGCGAGACCAAACATCTGATATTTCATTTTCACGATTCAAAACGCCTTCAAATACGCTGATACTTCACCACATTGCGCGGGAGTTAAAATAGTTGTCTCCTCAGCGCCTTCACGCGTGTTGCGTTGATGGGAGCCAGTCAGAGATCCGCTCCGTATTAGAATCGCAAGATCAACATCTGCGCTGCTGTGATAAAGAAAAACGCCGTATGATCCTTCAGGCGTTGCCAAATTGCCTTTGATAAAATACGACTTTCCCGGTAAACTTATGAATATTTTTCTTCCAATTTTTTGGATAATTTTATTCGCAGTTTCTCACTGGAAAAAAATACATTGGAAAACATTGACAAGAAAAAATACTCTTGATTCAATTGGATTTTTGCTTGAATCAAAACGAAATTCGCTTAAATTAAGCGGCTTGGTTCTTGTTTTAAACTAGATTCTGATTGAATCAAGAGTACTTTTTCTTGACGATGTTTTTGAGAGTGTGGACTCTAGAACCGATGTAGTTTTTTTTCAGTGTACGATACTATCAAGAGCTTAACCTGAAAATTTGAGGTATATGGGTAAAACAATGTTTATTTTTTTGAGTGTTAAGTTCCAAAAAACAAGGGGAAATTTTGATGGATTTACGGCGTTCTTCCTTGGCACAGTAGCCTTCTGGTCCTTTTTGATTGAATTATTTGCAAACCACTGGGAAAAAAACACATTGGATCTAGAGTCCAGACTCTTAAAAATATCGACGAGAAAAAGTACTCTTGATTCAATCAGAATCTAGCTTAAATCAAGAACCAAGCCTCTTAATTTAAGCGGATTTCGTTTTGATTCAAGCAAAAATCCGATTGAATCAAGAGAATTTTTTCCTGTCAATGTTTTCAAGAGTCTGGACTCTAGATCCAATGTGTTTTTTTTTCCAGTGTAGAAATATTAGTATCTTCTATCTTGTTTCTTTACTTCTTTCTTCTTTTTTTCATTCAGAACAAATGGAGTGCAATTTGCCAGCGATTACTGACCGCCTTCGATATGCATTTTTCCACACGACCTACTTCATTTGAAACATGTTTTAATAACTTGCCCTACATATCAACAATTAAGATTTCCCTCCACTTTCTGATCTCCATACCATTCTTCCAAAGTATTTTCATGAAATCCCTCTCTTTTTCAAACAAATTAATCTCCAAATTTAATGTATTTTTTCCTTGTCCTAACTTTCAATTTTACACAACGTTTTTGTGACCCCTACTTTTTAAATTTTTAAATTCTGTACCAAATATTTTGATCTCTCCTCTAAGGTGTTAATGGCTAAATTGTTAAAAGCACCAAATAAACGTATCTACCAACCAACCAACTGCGTATAAAATTGAAAAAATGCAATTGTTACCTATGAATGATATTCGAATCCGAATAGTGGAAGTAGTTGGTGCCGGCAAATGAGGCTCCGCTAATTTCGCCTGTGAGTTTATTGCTGTCCTCGCACTGGTAGCTGCATTCACACTTGTAAGACTCTTTGATGGGCACACATCGGGCGCTGTCGCCGCATGGCTTGGCTAGGCATGGATGTTGACAATTATCTACATTTACACCGGCTAACGCTTCCGCAAAAATTTGCAGAGGTCTGTCATTGATCACAACCTGAAGGAAAAATTGCGAAATTACCCTCTTGCAGTGGCTCTTGAAAACAATATTAATTGATACTTACAGGTGCATGCATACAATGAAAAAAAAAGATAAACAGAATTTAGCATTCCTTCACGCTATATTTCACACAGCGTGTAGGAATGGTAAATTCTACCAATCTTCAAATCAATTCTGCCAGTGGAATGGTTGCCTGTACCAGTATATAGTAACGTTTACCTTTTTTTCTGGCAGAATTGACTCTGAATTGGACTACATTTTGAAATTTGGAACTGTAAATTCTAGCCCGCATTAAAAACAACGTATGTGCCATTAATTTTCCTATGCACATAAGTGTTAATCCAGAGCAGCCAGAATTTATAGTTCCAAATCGCAAAATGCAGTCCACTTGACGCTGTGTGAAATACAGCGTAAAGGAATGGTAAATTCTACCAATCTTTTTTTTTCAGTGTACACACATAAAAGTCACAAGAAAAACGAGTAACTATGGCTAATTAACAACAAAACATAAAGTGTGACTTTGAATCGGGGTAGAGTCAAGCCCCTTCTCAGCCAGGAAACAAAAATATAAAAAAAGATTACAAGGATTAAAATATCCAGACCCCCATTTAGTGATAACAAAAAGAGGTTATACCTCTCTATTTGTGAATAACCCTGGAGGATAACCTCCTGAGGATCACCTCTTTTGGTTATCACAGAATGAGAGTCTACCCACTAAGAGGGCACAGCTAACAGGGAAGGGGGCGAAAGTGTGATCCAGGGGGTTCCCCCATAAAATTGTCGAAAATTTGAAGCATCTAATATGCATGTATGAATAAGCCGCTTTTACGGCGCGCTAGGGCGCTCTGCAACGCCTTTCCGCCACAGGAATCTGTCATGGTAGAGGTCCTCCAGAAGCTGGCAATTCTCCACCTCTTCACGGATGCCCTCTACCCACCGTTTGGCTGGACGCCCTCTCCGTCGCCTACCTGGATGGACCCACTCCAACACCTTCTTCGGCAACCTGGTATCAGCCATTCTAATATGTAATTTGATTTCATTTCAGTATACTACATTATAGTTTTCTGATATAGGAAATAGTATAAAAATAGATTCAAAAGTGAGAAAGTGCACCGCCTTGTGACTTCATCTGGCGGCATTTCCCATTTAAACACATGTATTTTAGCAGACAAGCTAATTTTTTCATATCTCCTCGAATAATTGTTCAATTTAAGAACCAAGGATATTTTTGCGTTCGGTTCACTCAGTAATTTACTTTTAGACACGAAATTCATGTAATTTCAGATACTTGCAAATTCTCCATCGGGAAAATAGCGGAAAATTGGGGGAACATTTGGAATGAATAGAGAAATTGCGGGTGTCTGAAATTTGATGAATTTCGTGTTTAAGTAGAAACTACTGAGTGAACTGAACACGAGAATACCCTTGGTTCACAAATTGAACAATCATAGGAGGAAATGTGACAAAATTATCCGATCCACTAAAATACATAAGTGATTAAATGGGAAATGACGCCAGATGACGTCACTAGGCGGTGCATTTTCTCACTTTTAAATATATTTTGATACTACTTCCCATGTCAGAGCAAAATTGAAATAAATACTGCGATATCAGTTTTTTAAAGACTTTCAGATGGAGCAATAAAAAATTTGCATGGAAATTCTCCATTGGAGAAAAGGCGGGAGTACTGCACTGAAAAAAAAAAAATATTGCTGAAATTGCCGTGCACGCGGGTATGTATTTCATGGCATGGTGTAGCTAAAAAACGAACGTGCAAACCATGCAGGTAAAATCGCTACACAAATTTCAGCTAACTTACACACACGCGTGTAGGTGATTTTGCTACCTGAAAAAGCTACGTCTGTTACCTTTATGGTTATTCTTCCGTAAATGTTGCTATTTTTCCGTGAATTCCGCTATTTCAGCCTAACTATTGAGCTTTTTTTACTGTTCGCAAAGTACCAATACCAAAAAATGCAGTTACACTTCCAAGCCACTCGATGCAAGATTAACTGCATGAAGGCGCGCAGATGTAGCAAATCGGTGTAGCAATTGGACGTATTTCTACCAAACAGACCTATGTGGAGGTGAGAAATATGGGGTGTGCTCGTCGAAACTGCATTAGAAGCAATGTAAAAGTGGGCGTGATTCCTTTTGAAGAATTGGAAAAGCGGGATTTTACATTCTATCAAAGAGACCTATGTGGCAACTGAATGCGGAACTCATAAGCCGCGGGCATGACAAGAGAGCCTTGTGCACAGGGCTCATGAGTTACGGGCTCACTCTAGCGATCTCCCCGTTGCGCCGGCGCTCGATCCTTGCCGCTGACGTCACTGGCGCACAATTATTCTCATTCACTCTTACGGCCAGAGCACTAACGAGCACACCCCATATTTCTCACTTGCACATAGGTCTCTTTGGTAGAAATACGTCCAATTCGTGCTAGTCGTTCACTTAATTCAACACCGTGCACGGATAAGAAAGCTTCACGGAGTGAAACAAATTTTGCTCCACCCTAAATCGGTGAGTTAGCAATCCACTTTTTTCAGTGTGGGCTCGGGGAATAGCTTACCTTCTGGATGCAGCCTTGGAAGGAGGTCCTGGCCTTGACTTTGGGGGAGACCATGTCGAAGTTGGGGACGCCGCCGAGGTAGAGGTTGAGCGGGAGGGAGAGCTGCGTGAAGGCGCCCGGGGACAGCTCGTGCGAGGCCGGGCCCTCGTCCACCTCCAGCACCGCCAGCCGCCCTGTCCGCGAGACCACCACTTCGTGCCACTCCCCCAGCGACACCCGCTCCTCGCTCCTGCCAAACACACCAAACAATCAATTCTCAGACTGGATATCAATCAGCAAATCCCATATTCCCGCATATAATATGTCGGTGAAGAGTATAGCGACGTGCGAGAAACGCCTTCAATGTGAAAACATACTTCCTAGCGTTGTCTCGGAGGCCGAATTGTTGCATCACTTGAAACCCCAACCAATAGCATACGTCAAATGGACTACATTTTGCAATTAGGAACTATAAATTTCGGCTCGGTTTAAAAACAGCGTATGTACCATTAGTTCATGGGCGGATCCAGCAAACTGACAACATTGTTCTTCTCCATTTAAACCTGTGGAAATGTATCGAATCTTGGAGGAGCCTGGTGCCCCAACAAGAATCGATGATTTAACATAGATTTAGGTGGAAGGAATCCGGTGTTGCCAAATTGCTGGATCCGCCTCTGTGTACATCAGTGTTTTTTCAGATGATCCAGAATTTATAGCTCCAAATTGCAAAATGCAGTCCTAATATAATGAGCAAATGCGATATTGCCGCATATAATTTGTCGGTGAAGAGTATAGCGACGTACGAGAAACGCCTTCAACGTGAAAACATACTTCCTAGCGTTGTCTCGGAGGCCGAATTGTTGCATCACTTGAAACCCCGACCAATAGCATATCGACGGTGTAAGTCGGCAATCACATAACTCGTTTGCGGTGTCTGAAAATCTCCGCCTCTACGTCATTTTTATAAAGGAGAAGGAATTGACATTATTTCTTGAAGTTTTTGCAGAATTTTGAAGAATTGAGAAGAAAAATGATGACAGTTTTAAAGAATTGCCGTTGAGTAATTTTCCGTTTAAAAAATAAAGTATGACAGGAAGTCTGCGACGTCGCAAACCGAGTTATGTGATTGCCGACTTGCAACGTCGAAATGCGATATTGCCGCGTATAATTTGTCGGTGAAGAGTATAGCGACGCACCAGAAACGCCTTCAATGTGAAAACATACTTCCTAGCGTTGTCTCAGAAGCCGAATTGTTGCATCACTTGAAACCCCAACCAATATAGCATATATCAATGAGCAAATGCGATATTGCCGCATATAGTTTGTCGGTGAAGAGTATAGTGACTTACAAGAAACGCCTTCAATGTGAAAACATACTTCCTAGCGTTGTCTCAGAAGCCGAATTGTTGCATCACTTGAAAACCCAACCAATAGCATATGAGGCCTTATATGTAACAATAGCGGATGTAAAAAATTACCTTTTCAAAACACGCTTAAAAAACTATTTTGGTCACACAAAAATTTAATACGTTTGGATTTGGCATAAAGCACAGATCTCGAAGATCGCATCTCAAGTATTTTTTCAAAATATTCTCGATACCAAAACAGTTTTTTGAACGTGTTTCGAAAAGGTCATTTTTCACATCCGCCATTGTTACATATAAGTCCACACACATTTTCACTTGTAATGCCGCAATCACACGCTGAATGTGGGAGCTGAATGTGGAAGTCATCGGCCCGATGCCTGAATTTTGCTCGTCACGAGCAAAATTCAACAACGATTCTCACAGCGACCATCGGATAATGTCGCATTCGTCTGAACTATTCGAATAGATTTGATACACATTTGGATGAAAATAACTCGAAATAGTGACATTTCAGCTGTTGAGCGCTGACTATTGACTGCCACATTCAGCTACCAAATCCAACGTGTGATTGCGGCATAACTCAACGTGAAACTGTGATGATAGCAAGGTGGTAGAAACCAAGGGTGTCGGTGTCACTACCGTGGTGGATGTCGTCAACAGTCGAGTCGCACGATGTGGAACGTAGAAATTTGCCGTTTGGAAAGATCTTAATATTTTTAACTTATGTACCAAGTGTCAAAACACGATTCTGCGACTAGCGTAACTGACTCGTTCATTCGGGAGTAGATAAATCAATGGACCACTAGACGAGGCACGAATTCAAGCATTCTGATACATATGTCTTAACCATAATTTCACGTAAAACACGATTCGCGCAACGAAAATTACTGAAACCAACTCCTGACGAAGATATTAACCTTTTTATTTCACATTGGTTCCGCTGATTTTGAACTGCCCGCTCACAAGAAACTCGAAGCTCTACGTGAGTCAAATCGCGCACTACAACAGTTTCAGCAAGCCTCTCGATCAAGCACTGTTCATTTCCCACCATGTGTTGTTCAAATTATAAGCAATTTGCTATCGCTGAGCCAAAGCGTCAAAATTGAGGTTGTCAGGTTTTTATATCGCAAAGACTGTCATGATCATGTTCAGCGCGCGATGTGAATCACGTTGAGCATTGAGTTTTACTGAGCGGGTGGTTTGAATTCACGCATCAGGAATCATTAAATATCTTTGTAATGAGTTGATTTCGGTAATTTTTGTTGTGCGCATTGTGTTCTACGAGAAATTTTGGTTGAAAAACATGTATCAGAATGCTGAAATTCGTACCTTGTCTAGTGGTCCATTGCGAACTGAAATTACAGAATGTTAATATGAGGTCAAGCCCCAGAGACCTCCACGGTCTGACCATGATTTTCCTTAGAGAATTATGCCATCTTCTTGCCTATTCTCGTCGATCCTCTGAAGTAAGGGCGTATCTCGATTTCCACATGAGCCCCAGAAAGCATGGATTTACATGTAAAACAGGGCTTACGTGGAAATCAAGATACGCCTTCACGTCAGAGGGGCGACGTATCTGTCATGCTAAGAAAATGACGTTTGAAACTTTAAACATTGCGGTCAAAGTATCTATTTTCGAGAGAAGTTTTGAAGACCTTTCTTCTAAATTTTTAGACGAGACATATTAAATTAAGACAAGGAACCTGTAAGAAATTCAAAGAAAACTTCCGAAAATTCTCGAGAAAATGTGATTTTCATCAGCAGAGACTTGGCAAAATCCGAATATGCGTGCGGCGTTTATCTTTAGCACGGCAGTCGGCGCATTCTTGGAAAAGCCATGCGATCGCATTGAATTGACGTCTTTCCGCTGACGTTTTCGTTTGGCTTGTCCGTATTTTTTGGACAGGTTGAAATTGACTCGGCTCTGAGAAGAGTAATACAACAGTTCCGACTTCCTCGTGACTTCAACTCGCATAACCATCAGATGAAGACTCGCATTGATGAGCTATTCCGCGTAAAAGCGGAATTCAGCTGCAAGGGTAAAGTGCATGGATTGGACGGAGCTTCTTTTCTCACGAAATGTTCACCGAAGTCGTAGTATAGTTTTTGAAGCGGAAAGCTTTTAAAAAAAGAAAATAATATTTCAAAGGAAGATATTCAAGTGAGGAGTCTACTTCAGACTTCCCCGATGCGCTCATGGTGATTCTTCAGCCATTTTCTACAAGAAATAACTATTTTTTTGCTCTGCTAAAATTTACAACAGACCCGTTCTGCCGCGCTAAGGAAAAACGCCGTATGAGCCCTCAGTCGTTGCCAAGTCTCCGTCGACAAATCATGAATTTTCGAGAAAATTTGTGACGATTTCTCCTCCAATTCTATAGAGTATTTTGTTCGTAATTTGATCTAAAAAATCTAAAAATTGCAAGGACAAAGATTCATAATTTTCTCTTAGATTAAATTTTTCCTGAGAGGAAATTTGGCAACATTCGAAAGTTCATACGATGTTCTTCCTTAGCACGGCAGCGTTGAGACACGGCCTCATGCTGGAGGGGATCATTGGCGGATCCAGCAAATTGGCAACATTGTCTTGTCTCCACTTAAACCTGTGGAAATGCATCTGTCGCAGGCAATTAGCCATCGCCGGCAAGCTGCAATGGGCTCACGTGCTTTTTCGATGAATCGCAATAATGCACATCGGTACAGTGAAAGTTTGGGTAATGGCCTTCAAATACATGATCTCGGCTTGGAGCGCCTTCAGTTTTTGTGATACTCCACGCTTTATCACAGAGTTAGTTTAGTTGCATGTCCGATCTAGACCCAACTCAGGATCTCACTACACGCCCTCCTGAGTGAGCCTGTTACTACCATGTTTTTAAGGAGGACAAAAAGTCAATTCACATTTAAACAGACTCATCCGTACTCTAATGTTGCTCACTTATTTCTGAATGTAATGCTTTTCCTTTTATGAACCGGTGGCTTGCAAATGGAGATGTTGCATGTGTGACGAATTTGCGATTTGACTGTTGATTCTTATGTAAAAGTTCGCGAGAAACACGATGGTGCCACTGGTTTTCTCTAAAATCAACTCCCAAGCTCAAAAAAAGCTCTCAAGTTGTGGCCAGAATGGAGGGGATATCCCACGCTACCCTGAGAGTCCTTCTCTCCATTAAAACGAACTCTCCATGCAAAGATAGGGAGCAAATACATTAACAGTGATGCCGTGTTTTCAGTTTTGGAGTCCCCAAATTAAGTGGCAGCTCTGTCAATGTATTTGCTCCCCATCTTTGCATGGAGAGTTTGTCTTGATGTAGAGGAGGACTCTCAGGATAGCGTGGGATATCCCCTCCATTTTGGCCTCAACTTGAGAGCTTTTTTTGAGCTTGGGAGTTGATTTCAGAGAAAACCAGTGGCGTTATCGTGTTCCTCGCCAACTTTTACATAAGAATCAACAGTCAAATCGCAAATTCCTCACACATGCATCATCTCCATTGCCAGCGATTGCTATTTGCCTGCGACATATCGATTCTTGGAGAGGCTAGGTGTTCCGACAAGAATCGATTATTTGGCATAGGTTTGAATAGAGTAGCTGTATAGCGAGAGTATGGACAGATCGCTTCATTGAGGCCCAAAAGTGCAGCCACCCTTCTAACCAAATTTTAACGTTCAAAATTTCACTACCAGTCTGCAGATTCCAATTCTGACCAAGATGGCTATGGATGTACATAAACGAGCGTTCTTCCGCAAAAATGAGTAAATGTATGCAAAAACTAAGTCAAATACGTGCTTTATAAACGATGGTTCGTAACAATTGTATTAATAAATCGCTCAGGAATTGAAATTCATAGGTTGGCTGCATTTCTGGGCCCTAACTTTATTCGCGGAGGCATTGGTGAAGGCCTGATGGATTTTCGGAGTTTCACATCTGTCTATACTCTCGTTATACTCGCAAGTACTCTAGGTTTGAATGGAGGGACTCCGGTGTTGCCGAATTGCTGGATGAGGATTGGAGAGCGGGGCTGGGACGAACCTGACGGTGGCGGCGCCGGTGCCGAGGTCGAAGGTGAAGTAGATGCGCCCCTCGGAGATATAGACGGCCATGAAGTCGCCGACGCCGTCGCCGCGGCGCCCGTTGTAGAGGATGACGCCGTCCTCGGCCGTCGGCTTGATCACCAGCTTCATGTCCAGCCACGAGAGGGCCCGCCCCTTCATCCCCGGGTACCGCAGGTAGCTCGACCCGTTGAACGACGGAACCTGCAACAATACGAAAAGCCCGCTCAGTAACACAACGTAAAAGCACAAAAACATAGCCCGAATATACGAATAAAGAAGGAGATTTAATTAAAATATGGGTAAAAAAGGCTGAACATTATTGAAACACTAAAAGGCAGGACGTTTTGAGCTGCTACCAGCTCATTTTCAGCTGCAAAAAAACATAAAAACAAGTAAAACATTGAGTGGCGACCTGACCCCAGACGTTAGATTCGTTACATTATAACGGTGAACGAGATATCGTTGATCGATCATTCACGCCTCGTCACTGATCAGTACGAAAGAGTCGCTCTCCTTTTGTGCTAGAACGCGCTGAGGCCAAGAAAGTCATTTTGCTAATCCTTTGTTTCTTTATCGGGAACTACGTGATTGACACTTACTTTCTTTTTCGCCCGATGAATTTAAATTCATCGGGCGAAAAAGAAAGTAAGTGTCAAAGTCATTTTGGTTGATCGAACGGAAGAAAGCAGTAACTCAAATTAACCCAAAATAACCATTAACATATGGAAATTTTGAAACCTATGCACCGGTCAAGAGGGCGGTAGATGACTGCACCCTCGATTATTCTAATCATTCGATTAAAAAAAAGATTAAGTTAATTTGTTCCTGATAATCTAATAATTTATAATCTAATGAATTATACTGCTTAAAAAAGAAAAGTAAGGAAAAAAAAAAAACAGCAATCAATATAATGTAGATTTTACGTTACGTTCCACGCTGTCGCGCTACGTAAATACGCCGTATGAGCATTCGAATGTTGACAAATTCCCTCTCAAAAAATATTCACTCTTGGAGAAAGTTATGAATATTTTCCCTTGAAATTTTCAGACTTTTCGAATCAAATCACGAACGAAACCCTCCGAAAAATCAGATCAGAGGAATTCACACATTTTTCTGAAAATTCGTGATTTGTCGACGGAAATTTGGCAACGCCTGATGGTTCATCCGGCGTTTTTCCTAAGCACGGCAGTACGGGAGTGATCGAGACTGTTCCCGCCTTTTCTTCAAATTCAAAATATCTCCGGTTTTACCGCGCTGGCCATCAGCCAATAGGATTTCGTCGACTACATCAGTTCACCGCCTCAACGCTAGGCGCCGCTCTAACCAGCGCCGAACCCTCCCTATTCATTTCTGTGCCCCCCCCCCCCCCCCCCCCNTCGTTGGCTGGCCCCTCTCCACACAAGCACGACCGGCGCGCCGCGGCTCGGCACACTGTAACACGAATCGATGAGGATGTTTGGATACAATACGGAGACTTCAAAAACATATATCTTCGCTAATACGAAACGTAGAAGTTCGCAAGAGGCTTCATGGGTTTTTCTGTGACATTTGCCGCAAGAACTGTCCCTTAAAATTTAAGATGATTCGCCAAGCTCAAGTGACGTAGTCCAACTGACGTTTGGTATATCGCATCGATTGGGTCAAAAATCTCGGCGGATTTTGAATTTTTATCAAGAAAAGGATGATAAACCCTGCGCATGAGCCTATAGAATTATTCTAAACCCAAAAATCGGCAAAATTCAGAGAAATGAAAGCAGAATAGTGTTTGGAAAAAAAACCTCGCATTCGATTTAGCTATCGATTTCTGTATCGAAAGCGAGGTTTTTTCCAAACACTATCCTGATTTCATTTCTCTGAATTTTGCCGATTTTTGGGTTTAGAATGATTCTTTAGGCTCATGCGCAGGGGCTGTCGTCCTTTGTTTGGCTAAAAATTCAAAATCTGACGAGATTTTTGACCTAATCGATGCGATACGTAGCATAGTTCGACCACGTCACTTGAACTTGACGAATCACCCTAAGGCTTGATGAAAAAAACAATACTCCTACAGTGTCCGTCCTTAACCCATCAACCAACCGTAATCTTCAATATCCTAAGGAAATAAAACCCTCAAATCAACATCGACTCAAAAATTATCCTGAGCAAAACTAATCTGGAACTTTACCAAGCTTTGGAATCGCACATTTTGAACAATCAAATTTTGTGTTAATAAAGTGTTAGTTTCAGTGCAGTGGCTGTTTGTTGAAAAACTAAGGCCAAAGACTCTAACGAGGGCGCGATAAGCTCCAAACAAAAACACAAAAAAATGGTTTCTTAAAGAAAAAATATTCGATCCTGTGCGACGGCCCCCTATCTAAGCCGTCACCTCCGCGCCTGGCGCGTCACAGGGGAATCATCACAGCAATGCCATTCTTCCAACACAAATGGGCCAAATTCCCATTCTGGAACAGGGAAGTACGCTTACTTTCACACCAAGTGACTACACCGTCTGCGCTGAGTTTTGAGAACTGACGCCGCATTGTGGAACTGAGGCGCTTGGCCGTGTTCAGAGCGCCAGCCGTTCGCATCTTTTCGTCGGTTAAATGTTTGGAGTTCAGTTTTTTAAAGGCTCGTCCGTCCATTAAATTTGTGCGGTATATTTATTAAATCTGTTCGTCGCAGAGGCATTGAAACTGTGAGTTAATCGTGAGTTTCATAGCAACGAGATTCAGGCGAATCGAAGGTCGTTTTCGTGAGAATTTTCGTTCTCGTTAAAGTTGGTTGGAACTGATGTTTTGAGTTACCGAAAGACGATTTGTTTCAAAATTTCCTGCAAGGTTCATCTAATTCGTGTCGACTATCGGTTCAACAGCGGTAAACTCGCAGAAGAAGGCCTTGAGGACATTCCCAATCCAGGACGTCTAGGACAAACTCTGCGTGGCAAAAGTAAGGTTATGTTGATAATTTTCAATATTTTTCTTAAACTCTACTCAATTCTTACTTTGTTAGCATTCCTGGCGACGTAATCGTGTGAGAGTGTGTTAGCCATTTCTAAACAAGGTTGCTACATTGTACGATAAAATGTAGATATTTTACATAGGTTTAAATATGGAATATGCTGATTTTACAGCACTATCTGGCAAAGATAAATTTTGCTGATGGAAAAACTCCCTTAGTTATCTTACATTAAATAATTTTCTCCTCTTCGTAAGATTAGATTCTGTCGTACAGTTTCGTTTCATTCGATCGAACTTTCCTAGAAATTCAACTAAAAATTTCACACCCTGAATAAAATCGCTTCCTCGAGTAATAAAATAAATTATTTTAACTCCCCACCCCTATACCTACGACCCCGTGTGTTCTCCGCAGCATTGACCGGATAACCTCGAACAATGGCCAGGTATGGGTCGGTGGTAATGGTCTAATTCGTTAGAACTAAAGTTCATACAGGGACAAAAAAAAAAAGAAAAAAAATCAACGGAGATTTTACGTGTGTGAGGAATTTGCGATTTGAATGTTGATTATTATGTAAAAGTTCGCGAGAAACACGATGATGCCACTGGTTTTCTCTAAAATAAACTCCCAAGCTCAAAAAAAGCTCTCAAGTTAAGGCCAAAATGGAGAGGATATCCCACGTTATCCTGAGAGTCAACCTCTGCATCAAGACAAACTCTCCATGCAAAGATAGGGAGCAAATACAGTGACAGGGCTGCCACTTTATTTGGGCACTCTAAAACTGAAATCACGGCAACCCTGCTAATGTATTCGCTCCCTATCTTTGCATGGAGAGTTTGTCTTGATGTAGACGTGGACTCTCAGGATAGCGTCGGATATCCCCTCCATTTTGGCCTCAATTTGAGAGCTCTTTTTGAGCTTGGGAGTTGATTTCAGAGAAAACCAGTGGCACCATCGTGTTTCTCGCGAACTTTTACAAATGAATCATAAATCAAATCGCAAATTCCTTACACATGCAACAGCTCAATTTGCACTTTATTGTAAAATGTCACGCTGGTACTGCACCAGTGTGAACTGATTTTGTCTTATTAAGCGTGCCAGTAGGGCTCGCTTTTTGAAATCACTCGGATGTACCATAGTACAGCACACCGATCAACCAATGCTATTCAACGGGCCGTCCAAATATTTTTTTCCTCGGACCCGTTTTCTTGTCTTTGAACCATTATACTGTCAAGCCCTGATGGTCTCTTACCAAAAAACCGAATGAACTGCTAATTGGGAACCCTTGAGAACATTTTCCTGTCAAAACCGTATTATTTCATTTGACAAAAACCTCATAGAAGCTTTCTTACGCTCGGAGGACTCAACTCTAGAACCTTCTTTCCCGCCAAAACTGTTTAGCCAATGAGCGTCTTGCACTGCAAGTGCAATCTGTGATGAGCCTCGTGACTCTTTATACCATGTACTAACCGTGGCCCCTGCAGAAATCCACTCAAACCACTGCAGTTATCTCCCGATATAGCTTTGGGTGTCAGGTTTCGAGCAAGGCAATAAAAGACGGCGAGGCGATTAACCGATTAACCATTCACCGTGATGCCAGGATCCACCAAATTTTCAGAAAAATTGTTTTCCGTCTATTTAGCGAGTTTTTCCTTACTTTCCGTTAAAGTACAAATAAAAAGAGACCTCATTTGTAAAAATCGGCCGAATAGGAGAGAAGTTACAGTTCGAAATCCAAAGAGATTAACTGAACGCGATTTCGATGCACGGCAGTTCGCCCAAATCACGGTCGTGCGAAATGCCGCATATCAGCTTAAAATCAAGATAATTAGACGGAATCTTTAAAATCAATTTACATTCAACGTTCATGAATCAATATTTTCTTCCAAATTTAGCAAAAAGTACCAATTGATGCAAATAACAAAGACGTGAAAATAGTAGGTATGTGTCCAAAATTTTAGTTATTCGTCACGCTTTTCCAACATATTCATGTTGGATTTTTCTGCTTGTTTTTTATATTGGTATAATGCATCACTCACGTCCGCGTATTCAGGAAGAAAAAAGTTTTCGTGCGTCAAATCACGCACTAAACGTTACCGTGACAGTATCTCCGGTATGAAAATTTGGTAACCTCAATCTCGGTTCTTCGGCTCAGCTGTTGCACGTTGTTACCATTTTCGGTAATTCACGATGGGGAGGGAACATCACTCGATTAGGAAGCCAAGCAAAACCGTTGCAGTGTGGAACTACAACTTTATGACTAAACAGCTCATACCCATGTCACCGTCGCTAAAATTGTGCAAATTTTTTTTACAAGTATCCGAAATCGCCCTTGTTATGATTTTTCTCCCAAAATATTGAGAAAAATAGAAAGAAAATTAGAGGCAAATTCCAGAACAAAGCTTACAGCTCTCTATCAACTAAACAGTCAAACGTATGCATAATCTTAGCAACACTGACATAGGTATAGGCTGTTTGGTCGGAAAGGTCCTCAGTTGTGGTCTCCGTAATAAGAACGATCAATTTAAAAAGATAAAACGAATATATTTTGAGAAAATAGGAGGGTTACCTACACGGACTAAATTTTTAGGGTCAAAATCGAAAGTTCGCCGATCGAGCCGAAACTAAGCTAGTCCGTTTGGAAATGATCCACTGAATCCGATTTTCTGGTCGGAAAAGCTTCCAGAGTCGGCTGGAACGCGCTACTGACGGAAAACGCACTTTACGAGTTCACCCTCAGCGCCATCTCGCCTTAAATTTTGCAGATGCAACACGGACATCCATTAAGCACGAATAGTTGTATCTCTTCGCCGTCATCAACGCGCTTCCTTTTACATTGCTCCATTTCCACACTGTCTTAGTTTTAGAGTGTCTTATTTGTATTTGTAGCGATGTTTTAAAGACTGCATACAGTCTTTAAAACACCGCTACATCGCCATGAGCAACACAGCCGTAAAAAGGAGAGGTGTAATAATAGAGCCTCGTTTCTTAATTTTCCCACGACTTTTCATTGGCAGCACAAAGAGGAGCTGCGGAATATCGCAAATTCACAGCTTGCAGCATCGCGCCTTCAATTTTGCAGATGCAACACGGACATCCATCATGTACGAATAGTTGTATGACTGCGCCGTCTTTCCGTTTCTTGTATTTCTATAATGTGTTAGTTTCGTTTATCTCATTTGTAGTGGTGCTTCAAGGACTACGTGAGCAACACAGCCAAAAATAGAATGTGCCCTAATCAACTATCGTTTTGAAAAGAAAAAAAATGTTAGAGGTCTCTCAAGCGATCAAAAGGGTGCACGTCTAAAAATTGACTGTGCTACCACCTCTAAGAGAGTTACACATGGCGGATAAGGACGGGGGGTGTTAAAGGATCTCTATATTATTAAAAAGGTGAAAATTTCAAAGAAATGCAATTTTTATCGATCATGGAAATTTTACATGGAATTACATTTTGCAATGTGAAACCAATATTCCTGGCTCATTCATAAAAGCCTTCATCTGCATAGGAAACTAATCACACATACGTTGTTTTTAAAATAAGCCAGAAATAGTATAGTTCCCTGATGCAAATTGTAGTCAAATTTTCAAAGAACTTTTGAGTCAATGTAGTTAACCGGTGCGTCAAAAAAGTACGGTCTAGGTATTTAGGGGAGGGAAAATATTTAAATGTAATAAAGTTTCTCTGAAAACCCCTGTCTTAATTCAGCAAATTGATTCATATGACTGAATATTTCAGATTATATAGCTCTAGGTTGTGAAGACGATGACATCTTACTTGTAAACATAAATGAAAATTAAATTTCGCTAAAAATTCGAATATTAACGCTATGAATTGCATGTTGTGTTGCCCAAAAATATTCTGCGAGTGACATTACCGGACTAGAAAAAAACCACATTGGATCTAGAGTCCAGACTCTTAAAAACATCGACAAGAATAAACACTCTTGATTCAATCAGACTTAAGCTTAAATCAAGAACCCAGCCTCTTAATTTGAGCGGATCCCTTTTGATTTAAGCTTAAATCAGAATCAAGAGTATTTTTTCTTGTCAATGTTTTCAAGAGTCTGGACTCTAGATCCAATGTGTATTTTTTTTTTTTTTCTTTTTTTTTCAGTGCGAGCGTTTCCGGTGGCCTTCCAAAGTGTTTGAGTGATTAACATGTACTGGTGCATGGTTTGTGCGTATGTTTTGTCCTGTCAAAACAATCCCTGGAAGAAGGGATGTTAGCCAGGGATCCCCTTAAATAACAGTGGCGTGGCGTGCTTTGCGATACATCGATTGATACGCCACTCAAACTTATGATAAAATATCGATTATCAGGGTGTTCGCAGCGAACACTTTAGAAATCGATTCTTTACTATAGCTTCAAATGGCGAGATATCGATAATCGATCATTCACGCTACGCCACTGTTAAATAATGTCCCCAGTCCTCACTTATGGTTACAGCTCGATCCCTACTCTTGCCATTCAAATTAGCTGGAGTTAAACTGGACGTTTTTTTGCTTAAATGATATGAACACCACGCCGCACAGTGAAACGAGCCAGTAGGAGAGGTCGGACATGAATTTTTTGGATAAAATTTCAAAATTTCATGCTTTTTTCGTCCCAAATTCTATTTCTAGGGGTGTTTTCGAAAGGAAATTACACGAAAACCCCATCAGAACCACTTTTGAACTTTTTTGTTTTATATTTTTGGAAATATAAGCTTTCAAATTTTCCAGATCTTATCCGACTTCCTCTATTGACTCGGTCCAATGTGCGCCGTAAGGGCAACTTGGGGCCTGCTCGTTGGAAAGCGGGATAGATTGGCGGCAGTGGTGAGGCGTGAATGGTCGATATTGATGTATCCCCATTCGCAGCTTTGGTGAGAAATCGATTATTGAGGTGTTCGATCCTTTTACATAGGTTTAAATGGTAGATCGACCAATTTACTCAAAATCACACCACGACACTGATTGAAACGCCGCACGAACGATAAATTTACAATTTTCTGATACACTTTTTTTTCGTATAAGGAAATATCGACGGTGAAAGTCGGCAATCACACAACTCGTTTGCGGTGTCTGAAAATCTCCGCCTCTACGTCATTTTTTTAAAGGAGAACAAATTAATATTATTTCTTGAAGTTTTTGCAGAATTTTCTTCGCATTGAGAAGAAAAATCATGACAGTTTTAAAGAATTGCCGTTGAGTAGTTTTCCATTTAAAAAATAAAGTATGACAGGAAGTCTGCGACGTAGCAAACTGAGTTATATGATTGCCGACTTTCACCGTCGATATGGCAAATTCTGAAGGCTCATACTGTGTCCTACCTTAGCACAGCAAAATAGCCCACCAGACTAGGTACAAATTTAATCAAATAAAATTGTAAAACTCACTTGCACGTAAAAATTAGTCAAATTGCGGATGCGTTTCGCCGGCTCGCGACTCCGGCATCCTCAGCGCGACTGGTTCCCTATTATTACAATTTTAATTTAAACGCGTCCGCAATTTAACTAATTTTTACGTGCAAGTGAGTTTTACAATTTTATTTGATCAATTAGCTTGTGCGAGTCTCCAAACGATTCTTGACAAATTTAATCTTTCTAATACACATTTCCTTTTCAAAATTTCACGTAAAACGCGAATCGCGCGACAAAAATTACTGAAATTCCCTCCCACGGGAAAAACAAAAGTCTCTTTGAGTCAAATTGAAGTTGTCGTGTTTACTAGGAATCTAACCTCTGAATTATTAAATATTTCAGACTGAGCACCAACCTATAATGGACTTACAATTAGAAGAGGGACTCAATAACTTAACGAAAGCGCTTGAGCGTTCAGCCGAGGATGCGGGACAAATGATGAAGTCGCGTAATCTTTCACTTCAAACGCGTATTCAACTTCTTTGTTTGGCATGCATGAAGGATCGACAAAAAGTCGCCGAGATTATACTAAACGACGGCTTCCAACAAGATAGCGATTCTGCCGAAAAAGCGCGCATGGAAATAGTCCGATACCTGAAGCGCCCAGGTGACCCAGAAGGATATCTCAGGGAGTACATTACATCCGTAATCGTAGGAGATAGCTCGCCTAGGATGCATCGCTCGGGAAAAATTCACCTCGAAAACATTTTCTCTCGACTGAAGAGACTTTTCGTGAGGGACGAAAACAATATACACGTGCAGCTGTATCTGTTGGACCGCTCGTTTCTGCAGGAAACAGACGTCAACGTGAATATACTCGTCAACGTGAATAAACTCGTCGGCGAGGCTCCGCTTTTGCACATCGCTTTGGAGATGGGCGACCTAGCTGTGGTGGACCTCTTTCTGAGTCGCGGCGCCGATCCTAACATGGTGGACGGATTCGGCTTGAACTCTCTCCATCGCGCGTCTAAACCGCAAACCGAAGGAGTCGTCGAGCTGCTCATAAATAGAGGAGTGGATATCCACCACACTGACGAATTCGGGAACACGCCGCTTCACACTTTCGCATTCGTGGGATACGAAACGGGAGTGCGGTTGCTACTTTCCAACGGCGCGAGAGTCAATGCGGCGAACACCGACGGACTCACGCCTCTCCACAAAGCAGCCACGGGCTATCCCGAAGTCGCGGAGCTACTCCTTGCTCACGGTGCGCACGTCAACGCCATCTACTCGACGCAGTACTCCTGCGGCATGACTCCCCTCATCTACGCAGCCACGCAATTCTGCTTGAACGATCCAACTTCTAAAATTGGAAAAAGAATCGGGAGAGTCATCGAGGTGCTGGTGGAACATGGTGCTGACGTCAATACTCTTGACAAATACAACAGAGCAGCATTGCACTACCTAGCAGGCAAAGGTTGTGAACGCAGCGTGGAGTTGTTAATCGCCAACGGGGCTGATGTGACTCCGGCGGACCAGCATGGGTGGACACCTCTTCACCACGCTGCCGGGACCGCTGTGCCTGCTCCTCTTCGCCACGCTGCCGGGACCGTTGCGCCTACTGGAAGACCCCAAGTCATCGGATTACTCCTCGAGCACGGAGCTCAAATTGAGACTCGTGACAAGGAAGGAAAGACGCCTCTCATCTGCGCCACCTCGTGTCGAGACGCTTACGGTTGGAGTAGATACGACACACCACAAGAGGAAGTGCTCGAACGACTTATAGACGGTGGAGCCGACCCGGAATCCTACGTCAACTCCGCGCTGTTGCTCTCCACGCTCGGCTGCGTCAACGGGAGATGCAACCGTCACGAGTACTGCGAGGGGCAGGAGCTCATGGTTCGAAAGCTGATGGCGCACGGAGCTGACCCCCGGAGATTGGTTACTTTCGACCGATCGAAAATACGTCCCGCCCGGTACGCTTTGCAGGCTCTGCAAGCGGCCTTGGAGTGCGGCCTCGTGAAAGATCTCGATCTGCTGGAGCGGCTCTTTGAATATGAGCTTTTTGACGACCGATTCGCCGACTATGAGGGGTTACCGTTCGTGAAGGACCAGGAGCATGGAGAGAAGCACCGATGTCTTGTCAGAGAACATCTCGCGAAGCTAAGAATCGCCGGACTGATCAGAGCCGAAAAATTAGCTTTGCCGGAAGGAATGACGGAGGGGACTTCACTTGATCTCGTGAATGCGTACGAGATAGAGGCCAAGAGGTTGGCGAGGATGATCCCGGGGAGCACGCGGACCTATCACGACGTGTTGTTCATGTCCGTCGATCAACTGAGCCGGTTGGCCGGCAATGACGCTGTGGTGAGCGCGTTCTCGAAGGTGGAGGAGGAATTCCGGATCTACGGCAGGATGCTAGCCGGACGCATGGAGAGAGGCCGGGTCCGACGGTCATGGGCAGAGGAGGCGTGCGGTATTTGCCAACCGCTCTTCGATCGACAGATTCGGCATTTGATACCGATGAAAATGGTGCCCGGGGACATAACGGAGCGAGTGATTGCGAATTTGGGCGATGTTGAACTGAAGCGGTTCGTGATTGGTAACAGGCGCGATCCCATCTTGCTAGGGCGATAGCGCAAAGGTATGGATAAACATCGGTAGGACGTCGTCCGGACCTCTCAATTGGACCGCGTTTAGCAGAAAGGAAGCCTTATCAGCTTTTGCTAAATTTAGTGAGGCAATTCAATTTTTGTACAAGAGAACGGTTCTGCGGATTTCTCTTAAAGTTTTAAGGAATTTGCTCCGTACTTTGCAGGAAATTCGCTGGCATTTGTACAAAAATCCGCACAAGCGTTTTCATCGATCGCTGAGAAAATTGGGGGAAAGTTGGGTGAGAGAAGCACTTCGAAATACCGAAACTACATTGAAATGGAATCGTGTGGGAATCTTTAGCATTCGGATTTCGAGGATTTTCGAAACTAGCAAATTCGTCCTAGAAAAATTGGGTGAAAGTTAACAGCCTTCTCCATTTATTCTGTCTGAAGTATGATGTAAAGTTCCCACTAACCTATTTCTTAAGAGAGCTTATTGAAGGTTGGCTTGGTGTATTGAACATAACAAAATACAATGCTCCGGTTTGTTTGATATGATACGAGTCCATTACTAACAGCTCTTCATTCAGGATTTCATGAGCTTTGCAGCTGACTAATTAAAGACGTGTGCGCTGTGATGTTCGATATTTAAACTAACCCATCACCATTTGTTCCACAACTAACGACTGAATCTTTGGAACTTTCAGGTCAAGCATTTTAAAGTAATGGACGCAGAGGAACAAATAAACAGCTTGAAAGAGGCCCTGAAGCAATCAGCCGAAGATGCGCAACAACTGATTAGATCATTAAAGCTATCACTACACCTTCGAATCAAACTCTTTTGCCTAGCCTGTATGAGAGACGACAAAAAAATCGCCGAGATAATAATAAACGACGGCTTCGGGCAATCGACTCCTTCAGGCGAAAGATCAAGAGAGGAACTCATCCAGTACTTGCAGCGCCCCGATGACCCGGAGGGACACCTCAACGGGTACATCATAAGCACAGCGATTAAAGATGACATGCCTGTCATGGGCCGCGTCGGGAAAGTCTACGTGTATAATATCCTCCCTCGGCTGAAGAAAGTCACTCTGCTGACAGAGGACTTCCGAAACATCGAGATGTACCTGCTCGACCGATCGTTTCTGCTGGAGCGCGGCGTCGACGTAAATAAGCGCGTCAACGGCGGATACCCACTTCTGCACATCGCGCTGGAGATGGGCGACCCAGCGGTGGTAGAACTATTCCTGAGTTGGGGCGCCGATCCGGACATGAAGGACGTCCACGGCTCCAATGCTCTCCACGCTGCGGCGAAATCAAAAGCCGAAGGCGTCGTCAAGTGGTTGCTCCGCTACGGAGCAGACATTCATTGCGTCAACAGGTTCGGAAGAACACCACTCTACGGGCTCGCTAACGCAGGGCTCAAGACGGAAGTGGAACTGCTTCTAGCTCGTGGCGCTAAAGTTGATCTAGCGGATAAAAACGGAGACACGCCCCTCCATGAAGCATCAAAGGGGCAGCCGGAGATCGTGGAGCTCCTCTTACCTTACGGAGCTCGCGTGAATGCACTCAACGAGCGTGGACAGACTCCTCTCCTTTGTGCCGCCGCTTTCTCAAACCCGGAGGATTTCACCCCCGAAACGAGAGAAAGGGTCGAGAACGTGATAGAGATCCTCGTCAAAAATGGGGCGGATGTAAACCGCGCTGACCTCGAAGGAGGGACCGCACTGCACTTTCTCGCCGCATCCGGGTGCGAACGGGGCGTTAAACTGCTGCTGGAAAACGGGGCCACAGCGAATTCCGTTAACTCGAAGGGCAGGACACCCTTACACGAGGCCGCAGGGTCCTGGACGCCTTCGGGAAGACCCGCCGTCGTCGAGCTGCTCCTCCGACACGGAGCCGAAGTCGACGCTCGGGACCGGGACGGGCAGACACCTCTCGTCCGTGCAGCATCCTGCCGGGACTACTTCAGCCTCGGCAATTACGAGCTACCGCAGAAAGACGTTGTCGAGCGACTCCTGAACGGCGGGGCCGACCCGGAAGCGAGTGAGTTGTCGCCACTCTTTCGAGCGATCCTCAGTAACGAAAGTACCAATCGAAGTAACTACGAACAACCGGACGTCGTTCGTGCGTTACTAGACCACGGAGCCGAGACCGACACCTTATTCGCGAATGTTCCTTCCGACACCCGCTACATCTCGAGGGCTCTGAAGACGGCGCTGGAATACGGTCTGGTGAGAGACGTCTCCCGGCTGATAAGTCTCCTCGACTATCAACCCCAAACCGTACGTCGGGAACGCATCCAGGTGGAGGAGGGCCTGAACCTCGCACTGCCGGAGGACTTCGAGAACGAGCTGTACTTGATCGAGGGCGATGAGGAAAACCGCGAGGCTGTTCGGAATGTCGTTCTGATGCATATTCTGAAACTCCATGCCGCCGGGCTGGTTACGTCTATAAGTCCGAACGATTCGGCTATGCTCAAATCGTTATTCGAAGACCGCCCCTCGGATCTCCTGAGCGTGGAGGTCGAGAGAATGGCGGAGAGGATCCCTGGGGGAGATCTGACCGTCCACGACGTGCTGTTCATGTCCGTGGATCGGCTGGCACGTCTGGCTTGTAACGATGGAGTAGTGGAGGCTTTTTCGTCGGTGGAGAGGAAGTTCCCGGTCTACGGGACGATGCTGAAAGGGCGCATGAGGAGAGGTCAGGAGCGGCGTCGATGGAGCGAGGCAGCGTGTCGCGTTTGCCAATGGCTCTTCGACCAGCAGCTCAGGCATTTGACACCACGGGTACAGGTGCCCCCGGAGATCACGGAGAGAGTGGTCGCGACCTTTAGGGACGTGGAGATGAAGCGGCTCGTGATTGGCTTTGGGCAGGAACCTGATGGTTTGGATTCGTGGGTGAATGAAGAGGTGGAACCTGGTGGATGGATTTATCTAACCTTGGTGAGTGAGCTTACTGTTTTATTGTTCTTACGGATAAGTGGGGCGGATGGAAAAACCTATCAATGAGATGGGCTCCGATTGGGAGATTTTGATTTCTTTAAATTAAGTAGCACCGCGTCCAGAAAGATGTTTGGATTGCATTTTGCAAAAAGGAACCAAGAGCATTCCAATGTTGCTAAGATTGTGCAAATTTGTTTACCTTGCAGATATACACAGATTAACTAAACTAATTTTCTCTTTACTTCCAATAAACTATAACTTAAAGACTAAAACTACCTTCGTATATTTAATTTTTTGCATGATTTCAGTAATTTGATTGAATGAATATAAGATACACAATCTTAGCAACATTGGAATGCTCTTGGTTCCTTTTTGAAAAATGCAATCGATTTGACTATATTATCAAAGGACTCCATTTTGCAAAAAGGAACCAAGAGCATTGCAATGTTGCTAAAATTGTGCAACTTCTCTTGTCTTGGAAGAAAAACCTGGTCATATATAAGCATTTTCTATTTCACACGCTAAAAACTGTAAATTTAAGACCAAAATTACCATGTAAAGTCCATATTTGCATGATTACAGTAATTTTATTGCAAAGGGTGAAGTCGCACAATCTTAGCAACATGGCAATGCTTTTGGTTGCTTTTTGCAAAATGCAATCCAAACATACTGTACATTTGTATGCTGCAGTTACAAAATGCTAAAATTCTGTACTGACTTTGAATTGACTCGCATCTTAGTTGAGGAAGATAGCGTGGACCGAAACGAGATGTTGACGGAAGTCTTTTCTTACCTGCGAACATAAGAAACACGAAGTTTGTTTTAGACCTCTAGGAGAATAAAAAATAACTTTAAAAGAAGAAAATTCCAGGAAATTCCAAAGTAAATTGTTAAAACCAAGTATCAAACATTGTGGAATTTTTAGAAAAAATTAGCAAAAAATCTTGGATATTTCTCGAGCCCTTATGTGACGGAACGAATTTACTCTCCTTTCCGGTCGATTTAATATTCCTTCATCACCACATTAAAGACTACCACGATTTAAAAAGACGAATTATGATAAAGATCCTCTGAAGGTTAATCCTGCAGAACTAACAAAACATATTGAATAAGTAATCGAACGTTGCTCGTGTTTTCCTGGTGCAATGCGAAATCTTGGTGAACTTTTTAATTTTTCGTTTCAAATTTTCAGAAGGTTTCATCCGACATTGAGTCCGATAAAATTGAAAATTCCAAGAAGATAACTCCCAACTATCCTTTAAAATACCACTCCGAGGACACGGAGGGAAAAAGTTCGTTCAGAAAAACTTGACCACACCTCACATAGTACTTTGTCGAGCCTTTTTTGGTTCAGATGAGCGAACTTTTCGATAAAACAAAACGAGCACCGGTTTCTGAGATCAAAAATTTCGGTTGCCTGAACCGAAAAAGTTTGATTTCCAGTATGAACCGGAGTGCGGCGTTTGTTACCGAACTCTTTTTTTGTTTCTCAGTGGAAAGTATACATCCATGAGAAAGAAAAAATGTTTCTCTTAAAATATTCTCACAGTGAATTCAGACAACACACGGAAAAAAATAAAATGTTGATTTAGCATTTATGATCCTGGAAAAATGTGCGAGATGATTCAAATGCTGATTTTACATTAAAAAATGCTAACTTTACTTTTGAATATGTTAATTTAACCGTGGCCGTAGTTAAGTTAGCATTTTTTTCATGTAAAAACAGCATTTGAATCTTCTCGCACATTTTTTGAACATTAGAAATGCAAAAGCAAAATTTAATTTTTTTCCGTGCACCTTCAATTCTAATCTCAATTTAAGCGCAAAGCAGTACCATGGACCATCCGCCGCGCCGCACAGTGGAACGAACTAATTGAAGAGGTCGGTCATGAAATTTTGGAGTAAAATTTTAAAAGTTATGTTTCTTTCGTCACAAATTCAATTTTAAAGAGTGTTTCTGAAAGGAAATTTCACGAAAAACGAATGCAACTACTCAACTTTTTTGTTTCATAATTTCGAGAAGAAATGCTTTCAAAGTTTCCAGTTTTTTTCCGACTTCTTGCACTGACTCGGTCCAGTGTGCAGCCTGTGGGCAGGTGCGGCGTGGCGTCCTTATATGTTCACATGTGCGCCCTCAATATGGATAGGTAGGCAATTTCTCAACTGAGGAGCACGTTGATTTGGACTGCATTTTGCAAGTTGGAACTATAAATTCTGGCTCTTCTGGAAAAACACTTATATGCATAGGGAAACTAATGGCACATACGTTGTTTTTAAACCGGGCTAGAATTTATAGTTCCAAATTGCAAAATGTAGTCAATTAGTGCCCTGTTTTCCTTAGCGCCAGGGACGGCGTGGCGCTCGGCGTAGGTGGAGCGTCCTTGGTACGTTCATTATGTTCACCTTCAACGTGAATGGGTAGGCAATATCTCGACCTAGCAGAACGTTGTTTTGTATTCTGTTTCGCCATGTTCTTTCCATCATTTTCATTTTTTTTTTTTTCATTCAAAAGATGGAATCGCAATACAGCTTAAGAATGGGGCTAATAATTATGTAAAAATACCTCTATTACGAGACTACGAGAAAAGGGATCTTAACCGGCATGCACTTATAATTGAGCAACTGAGATCAGAACGCACGGAATTATTCTGTAGATATCTTAAGCCAAAAAGGACCAAATATGTCAAACCAAACCAATGTTTTAGCAAAGTAATGTTTGTAGTTACCAGAAGTGCAGAAAGTTCTTAGCCTTCCCCAACTGCTTATTTTCCTTCTCCGAAAATTGAAATTTTGCTATATTTGCGCCTCCTCAGAAACTAATGCTCTTTACAGTTTCCTCCCCCAACATTGGCGAGCTTAAAATCCCCTGACGCACAAATCAGAGCGCTTGAAAAGCACCAAACACAGAAAACATCGTTCTTCGCGTTTTTTTCCCCAGAAATAGTTCAAGATGGGTAAAAAAAAAATCTTCCCTTCTTTTTACAGTCTTTCCAATTCTTATACGAGCGGTCACGTGATCATAACCCCGTGATCGAAAACACCTCGCAGCCCTGGTAGTCGCAAGAAAAATATATTTGAACATATTTATGCTAAAATGAACTACGTGCAAGCGGAAAGATGGGGTGTGCTCGCGGAAGCTGCATAAGAAACAATGTAAAAGTGGATATAGTTCCTTTTGAGAAAATGGAAAAGCGGGATTTGTCATTAAATCAGAAGGAACTGAGCGCTGATTCGTGAGCCGTGGGCATATGACAAGAGCATTGTAGACAGGGCTCATGAGTTAAAGCGCCCCGACGACGAGCTTGTCACCATTTTGCGTCTCGATCGTCGCCGCTGACGTCACTGGCGCTTTGAAATTCACATTCATTCTTATATGGTCCGACCACTGACGAGCACACCCTATCTTTCCACTTGCACATAGTTCCATTTAGCATAACTACGTCCAATTATGATTCAATTCTTCCGCAATTAGAACATAAGAAATTGCCAAATAATAAAAATCATTTTTTTTCTTCGAACTTCATTGATAAAAAAAATGAACATAACCATTAACCACTCGCATTTTCTTCGTTAGGACACTAGAGAATAATCCGTCATAATCTACAGTCAGAGGAGTGGCGTGGCGTGAATGATCGATTATCGATATTTCCCCATTTGAATCCGTAGTAAAGAATTGATTATTAAGGTGTTCGCTGCGAACACCGTAGTAAATAATAGATTATTAAGGTGTTCGCTGCGAACACCCTATTAATCGATCCTTTTCCATAGGTTTAATTGACAGATCATCGATATATCGCAAAGCACGCCACTTCACTGAATCAGAGTTACCGATCCAGCTCAAAGAAAAATCCGCTTTACTGAACATTTTGCCTCAGTGGCCTAAGGTCCCTTTTCTCGTGAACGATCCCTAATATGGAGGACAATTTTTCCTCAAAGCGACAAATATTATTTTCATTCATTGACTCTTGTGTTTTCATTATTTTTCAGTTTGATCCAGCTGCCACCCGCATAAGTGATCCGTCAAGTTCTAACCACGATACTTAGAGTTTGTGCCAATTCCTCGTTGCTGCTTATATCGAGTTACTTCAACCACACTTGATTTACGAAGTTGATGAATTCTGCACCAATTTTTTTTCGTAAGTATATTTTAGAGTTAGCGATATTTTATTCAAATCAGTTGTTTTCAAAAGGGAACCAGTTGATTTTGGCATGAGCCTTGGCTTGCATAAAAGCTCATGCTAACTAAGACTCATCGAGGAATGGACCTGTTCCCTTTTGAAAACAACTGATTCATTTGTGGAATATTCCTCTTTAAACGGTTCATTGGAAAAACGCACCGCGGACTATATGGAGCGATTCAGTTAACCATTCTTTGACGAATTATGTAATGTTAGTCTTGTGAAGGTCGAAACTATTGCATCAATCCAAATTCTAGATAGTTTGGGCCCAAACAGTGACCTCCGCTCCTCTTTCGTAATTGATAAAATAGAATTGCAAAAGAAGAACGAATAGAAAAAGAAACCGATCATGTAATTCAGCCCCCGAAAAAACTAGCCTCTTGCTGGGGTGATTCAAGTAATTTAGGAGATCCGCTTTTTTCAGTTACAAATTGTATACACTTTAGCTTCATTTTTGTAATAGGTATTTTTTACGGAAAATAAGTGTAAAAGTGTACTGAAAAAAAGAAAAAAAAAACCCCCCGGCAATTTATCCGCCTATGATTAGAGTGATACTTCCTATCATCTTTCGTTTCTACATTTCAATAGCTAAAGTAGGAGACCCACGTGTCTCCGTTCGCGTTGTTGCAGACTTCTGCCTGTGTCACACTATCAAAGCTAGTCATCAAAATATCAAGATTAGGTGTTGTGATTGGCTAATTCGATGACTTGGACCAATCACAGCACTTGACCTTAACATTTTGATGGAGTATTTTGATAGTGTGACAAAAGCTTTCCTGTCAAACTTCATTTTTTCATTGAAAAACTAGACAGCTTAATGTCTTGATAACGTCTTTATTATATAACGGCTTTATTAGCGGAGTATTCCGTAGAAATTTCAAGGTAAACAGCTGACTTGTTTCTCTCTAGAAAAATAAAATAGGAGCAGAGATGTTGAAGTACAGCAATGGAGATTCGTGGTTTCGCACTTCAGCCACCGATTTTTCATTTCAGCTCTTTCTGATCTATTTAGCAAGGTGGAGAAATGGTGCTGGGTCCACACCATTTCGCGGGGAAATCAAAGCCAAGAAGTTCCAAAAATTATAATTAGAGTCAACAATAAAGTTTTTTTTGTTAACTCTAATGAGTACCAGTACTAAACTGAATGGGGGGAGGGTTAAATTTTTTTTTTTTTTACTCTAATTATAATTTTTGGAACTTCATAGCTGATTTGCCCGCGAATTGGTGTGGACCCAGGATTATCTCTCCACCATGTTACATACAGTCTTCTGGCCACTTCTTTGTGGTTTTTTTTTTTTTTTTTTTTTTTTTTTTTTTTCTCTCATGTGATCTATTTATTTAGTTTGTTACTTCCACTTGAACTCCAATGAGCCTTCGAGAAATCTCATACACGGAATAGCCCTGGTAGCTGGGCTAACAAACCATCTGACAACGTATGTTCTACAGAAAATCTAATGACCAGTTCTAGAAGCGTAGTACTGGCTAACAAAATTTCCTAGAGGTATACACGAGACTTAAGATTAACACTATGAGAAGTCCATTGCTGGCTATAATATTTCCTCAACCAGCATGTACAGCCAAACTGTCAAGGAGCCACCAGCAGGTTTCTTATCCACGTAGACCGTGTTATAAGTTGACAGAAATTTCATAATACTGAGTCACAAGTGTAATTTTGCGTTATTGTTGATGTTCTTTAGGTGAGGACGATCTTCATTAAGGGCTCTCTGGAAGCGATTAGAGTGTTGTTTGTCCACATCAAGCAATATCGTGGCTTAAGGGCGCTTTTGATGGTCATTAGTGCAACCTGGACGGAACGGAATCTATGGATCCTACAACTGTCCTTGCTGACAACTCCCCCCCCCCCCCCCCCCCCCNCGCTCCACCGTTCTTGAATCATATACCAATGACAAAGTATAATCATTGCCTTAAATCCATTGACAACTACTACATTAAAAGTGAAAACTTTGTTGTCCGGCACCGTAAAGTGCACACTCGGAAGATTTTGTGTCTAAATTTTTAAATTCATACGTAAATATTTGTATTACGTATTTAATACGCGTACTATAATATACGTAATTTTCAAATCAAATTTGACGTTTCTCCTTTTCAGATCCGAAATCGAATTTCAACGATACTCAGACTGTTTGACTCTACCAAAGTTTAGAATTTTAAACCGTCTTTTTATTCAGAAGACTTTAACGTAACTGATTCTTTTCTTTCTTTAAGTTTAAGCCTTGCTCAAACTCAACCCTGTATTTTTGTCTGTGATAATATTATTCTACATATAAAATATTTCATTGGTAAATTTCTGAAATTTTAATTTTTTATCTTTTAATTTATTTCTGTCCTGCATGCGTATGCTGCCTAACCAGGAGAATAATATGTTGATAATTCTATTCATCTGACAAAATATTTTATTAGTTTCTCTCGTCAAGACGAAATACAATAAAATTGTCATCATTTAAATTATTCGCTTCTTATTTTATATTCGCTTCAACTTGATTTTATTAAATAAGCGGCCACAAAACGCTTCTCTTCAAGTGATTATCTAAGCATTAAAGTAAACCTCGTCAAAGATCCCAAAAATTGGTAACTTTCAACTTTCTTAGCGAGTTACGTTCACTTCTTATTTTAAACTCTCAGAATACCTACCGGTTTTTCTGTCGTGTTTGTAACATATGGGACCAATTCACTGAGTACCAAGTATCTGAAACGGGAATTAACCACCTAACGAACGAGAAAATTGTTATCATTACTGTAAGCTCTCTAAGGCCCTAAATTTTCCTTTTTTATCACAATTTGTTCTACTATTCTACTGGGCTGATTTCCATAATTTTTGCCGTTATCGATAGGTCCGTAGATGATCTCGATGTATGACTTAGAATTTTTTATATTACATAATAGAAGTTTGAACGGAGATATTGCATGTGTGAGGAATTTGCGATTTGGCTGCTGACTCTTACGTAAAAGTTCGCGAGGAACACGATGGCACCACTGGTTTCCTCTGAAATCAACTCCCAAGCTCAAAAAAGCTCTCAAATGAGGCCAAAATGGAGGGGACATCCCACGCTATCCTGAGAGTCCACCTCTACATCAATACAAACTCTCTATGCAAAAGATATGGAGCAAATATATTGTCAGGATTGCCACTTTATTTGAGGGCTCTAAAACTGAAAACATGGCATCACTGCTAATGTATTTGCTCCCTATCTTTGCAAGGAGAGTTTGTCCTGAGGTAGGAGTGGACTCTCAGGATAGCGTGGGATGTCTCCTCCATTTTGGCCTCAACTTGAGAGTTTTTTTGAGCTTGGGAGTTGATTTCAGAGAAAACCAGTGGCACCATCGTGCTTCTCGCGAATTTCTACAGACGAATCAACAGTCAAATCGCGAATTCTTCACACATGCAACATCTCCATTCTCCCACGTAAATAATGTGATTCTTTATTTTTTGTCACAGATCATCATGAAGATATACCGAACCAATTTTCGTGATTTTTGAGTCTATCAGGGACAGTAGTTCCCAGATGAGCCTGTTATATTTAGATTAACTAATAAGGGAGAGGGGTAAAAAGCGGGTCTCATATACTGCCGTGCCAAAGAAAAACGCCGTATGAACCTTCAGGCGTTGCCAAATTTACTTTGACAAAACACGAATTTCCTGATAAACTTATGAATATTTTCTTCCCAATTTTTCAAATAATTTCGTTCGCTATTTCACCTAAAGTTCCTGAAAGTCTTAAGGAAAAATATTCATAAATTTCCTCCAAAATAAACATTTTATCAAAGGAAATTTGGCAACTCTCGAATGTTCATACGGCGTTCTTACTTAGAACGGCAGTATAGAACCCTCTGGGTGCTGGGGAGTGATTGATTCTTGGATTAAAATAACCTGATGCACACATTTTCAGAAATGGACCACCAGACAAGGTACGAATTTCAGCATTCTGATTTATGTTTCTGAACCAAAATTTTACGTAGAACACGGTGCGCACGACAAAATTACAGAATTCAACTTCTTACGAAGATGTATAATGATGCTTGATGCGTGAATTCAAACCATCCGCTCATAAAAACTCAATGCTCTACGTGATTCACATCGCACGCTAAACGTTATCATGACAGTCTCTGCGAGAAAAAATCTGGCAACCTCAGTCTTGGCGCTTTGGCTCAGCTATAGCGAATTGCTTATGGTTCAAACAACGCATGGTGGGAAATGAACATTGCTCGATTGAGAAGCTTGCTGTAACCGTTGAAGAGCGCGATTTGACTCACGTAGAGCTTTGAGTTTCTTGTGAGCGGGCAGTTCAAATTCCTCGTAACCAATGTGAAATAAAAACGTTAATATCTTCGTTCGGAGTTAGTTTCAGTGCTTTTCGTTGTGCGAATCGTATTTTACGAGAAATTTTGGTTAAGGAACATGTATCAGATTGCCTGAATTGGTACCTTGTCTGGTGGTACATTCCCTAGTAAAATTTGGCAGTTGAATCTGTGTTCCAAAATACCATAGACCTACGGCCGGCTGTAAGATTTCCAATAGCTACTATAGCCGGCTACACAATTACTGATAGCCTTTTATAGCCGATGGCGATTAAGCAACTCACAGCCAGGCGATAAAGTGTATGCTAAACGTCACTAATTACGGATGCTAGGACTTAGTGAGTTTTTGGACCACTGCTTTCTTTTTGGGCCGTAGTATCTTGATTTATTTTGCGAGGAAAGCTCCGTACTTTTGATGGATGCCTGCCATTCCTAATTATTAGAGCGCCTTCAGTTTCGTATGATACTGTGCAATACCTCTGGTGTGAAATAGTTGCTTGAAGCGCCGTGGCAGGCGGGCAGCCAGCCCGAAACGCGCATTGGCGCCTACAAACCCAACAGGGATACTAGACGCGTTGCGCAATGCGTGAAGTATCCCTGTTAGGTTTGTAGGCGCCAGTGCGTCGCCGCTCCGCTTTGTGCTAGGTTCTAATATTTAATCTGGCGGAGTGAGCGTTATTCAACTCATGATTTTGAAATGTTTGCACATCCTGTATGGATTATTCTCGTTTCAATTGATGAAAAAAAAATATGTGGAATATATGGGATGTAATGTAAGGATGTAAGGAATTAAAGGAATGTTTGTATTAAAGAAATGGATATGTATGTGTGCTTTATCGTTAAAAGAAAATATAACGTGTGTTTTGTAAATATTAAGGTGGTTCCGTATCAAACTTAATGATTTCCGAAGCACACGAATTCCTACACAATTTCTTACAGCCTTTTATAATCGATGGCGAAAAAGCAACAGCCAGGCAAGAAAGTGTAAAGCCCGGCGATAGGAACTATAGCCCGGCTGCATAATTTTTTATTGCTTCGTATAGCCTGGCCGTAGGATTTTCTCCGCATTTAACAGCCAGCTATATGATTTTCTGTAGCCTTTTTTAGCCGGCTATGAGAATTCCTATGGTATTTTGAAACGCAGCTTTTATCGCCAATTTTTACCAGGGTTCTGATTGGTAGGTAATGATACATTAATGGGTCCAGCAGACATACTTGTGACGTAAGACGCCTGGAGCGTATTCAGCCGTGCTAGAAAAATCGCCGTATGAACTTTCAAGCGTTGCCAAATTTCCTTCGAAAAAAAGGAATTTCCTAGAAAACTCATGAATATATTTCTCCCAATTTTTCAGCTAATTTTGTTAGCAATTTCACTTTAAGTTTTTGAAAATTTCAAGGAAAAATGTTCATATCTCGTCTCTAATATAAACATTTCATCGAAGGAACTTTGGCAACTCTCAACGGCGTTTTTCCTTAGCACGGCATGCGGCAGTATTGTTTATTCCCTCATGCCCGGTGTTTCCGGCAGTGCTGGCGGCGCGGCGGCGGCGCGGTCTCTGAGCAGTGGCGTGGCGTGCTTTGCGATATATCGATTGTTAAGCCATTTAAACCTATGGTGAAGAATCGATTATTAAGGTGTTCGCTGCGAACACCCTGTCTATCGATCCTTTTTCATAGGTTCAAATGGCATAACAATCGATATATCGCAAAGCGTGGCCACACCACTGTTTCTGAGCTGTGAGCATTGACTGCCATCAAGAGATGTGTTTGCTTAAGTACTTGAACCGCACACATGTGCTTAGTCTATCCGCGGAATCAACGAGACATCCTCGCGAACCCAGTCAGCAGTCACTATTTTTCGTTTTTTTTTTTCTTTTTTAAATTATTTTATAGAGTTTTTCGTGGTTTAGGAGTGTTTTTCTTGTGATTTTGTGAGATGCAAATGATTGATGAAAATTCCCCGAAATGATTTTCAACGTGGCATCCTAAAAAGTGAAAAATTTTAAGGCGTTAACTGAACGATAAGGTCAATTTGCCGGGCAATCTAAGTTACGAAGGAGTCAGAAGGTATTTTTTAGATGAAGATAACGAAGTTTTTAACGTTAGACTTGTGTCAAAAATCACTCTCTCTGAAGTTTGACCTTTAGAAGTTTCAAAAATTCACGGGAGAAGAGGAGAAAAGTCTTCTTCTTTTATGCATTACTGCAACTCCCATATTTTTTTTAAAAAAATGTTAGGGTCTTATTCTGGCGTGCTAAGCAAGAACGCCGTATGAATCTTCAGGCGTTGCCAAATTTTCCTTGATAAAACACGAATTTCCTGGTCAACTTATGCGCATTTTTCTTCCAATTTTTTAAATAATTTAGCTCGCAATTCCACCGAAAAGTCCTGAAAATTTCAAGGGAAAATACTATCCTAAATACTATACTAATGAAAATTTTATCGAAGGTAATGTGGCAACTCTCGAAAGCTCATACGGCGTTCTTCCTCAGTACGGCAGTATTTATAGTCGGCCCTTAGATTAGCTTATTTCCTTGGCAGACCATTTGGTTCACACTGTGATTGAGGGTGGTTTAAGAATGCCCTCAAAATAGCATCATAAAATGGATAAGATTCGCAAGTCTTGAGTAAAATTTAGCAGTATTTTAGAAATGAGTCCTTAAAAGTTATTAGAATAATTCACCCCCGCAAAAAATACAAAATATGAAAGAAAAGTTACCGCAAATTGTGTAAAATTAAATGTACATTTGTACAGACCTTAAAGTTCGTCAAAACCAGACATTTTTCTTTCGTATTAAGTAATTTTAGTTTGATAAATTGCCAAATATTATACAGGAAAGCATATATAGTCCAACATTCGGTAAGCTGGCCACAAGGCATTTGATTGCAAAATGCCCGTACTCAATCAATGAATTTTTGAATGTCAATGAATGAATTTCAGACGATTTGTATGTAAATATGTTTATACCTATCAGTACCTTTATTTAGAAAATGACGTTTTTGTGAAGCCAAATGTGCAAAAAGCAAAAGAATAAATAAAATAAAAAAATAAATAAATAAAAAAAAAAATAGTATGGCAAATCTTTGCGATCCCTTGCGAGGATCCATTTCCAAAGGTATACTTTGCTGAATTTTTTGTTTGAGAAAGGTTTGAAAAAAATGCCCATTTATGATACTATTATAAGGGATTCCTTAAACCTGCCTTCATCACAGTGTTAACTAAATGGGGGTCTCTGTTAAGGAAATGGCATGCTTAGAGAACAACTATGAATATAACCCATGGAAGTTTATGATATTGGAATCATAGAAAGGGTCCTTAAAAGCGTTTCATTTGTTCCAAATGCAAAATATACGACTCTGCCGTAAAAAAGTAAATGTGATCTGCTACAGGGTTGCCACAGAATTTAGAAGTTGAAAACCCCTGACATTTCCCTGACACATTTTGGTGGAATTCGGAATTCCCTGACAATTGACGATATGCCAGGTGGTGAAAACTACATAATTACAGATGGTTTTCAGGCGAATTGGGGTATTTCTGTCAAACGGAACTGTGTGCATCATGACGTGAGCCCTGTTATGCGTGTATTCTTATGGGTCTCAGGGCTCATGTCTTAATGCACATAGTTTCGTTTGATAGAAATACGTCCAACTGGTTGTCCGAAACGTCAAACCTTTCTTAGAAAGCGAAAATAGGTGACTTAAGAATTTTTCCCTGACATTTATGTCATTTTCCATTTCCCGGTTTTTCCGGTATTCCCTGACAGTGGCAACCCTGCTGCTATGCATTGATGAGGCTTTGAAAGCAACTACTGTTTTTTTTTCGAAATTTGACAACTCTCACATGTTCATATGGCGTTTATCCTTAGCACAGCAGTATGTGACAATGAACTCAGTTTTTAGCATTCTTTAAAGTTTACTTGAAATAATGAGTACATGGACCGCGTTTAGCAGAGAGAAACCAAACCGCATCAGCTATGAACTGGGTAATTTAATTTTTTACGAGAAAAAGTTGGTGCGGATTTCTTTGAAAATTTTAGGGAATTTGCTTCGCACTGTACAGAAAATTTTACGAGAAAAAGAATTTTTGTAGTGTACAGAAAATTTACTGAATTTTGCAAAAAAATCAGCACAACCGTTCCACGTAATTGAGTCCACGTAAACTGACCAATTAAAATTGGTAATAGCTGAGTTGGCATTTTCTTTAGTTTTATTAATAGACATTGAAAAAAATTAATATCCCTGGATGTGGCTTGGTTCCTTCCTGCTTGACGCGGTCCATATGAAGATAGAGCACGGTAGATAGCTGAAACTTTGTAATGCAAAGACTGAAAGTACCCAGATTAGATTTGACTTTATCTTATCTATGATTGACTCAAATTCTGCACGAACTCATCGAGTCCTCAAAGAATCTCTTCAAAACCGGCGCGATTGTGCCACGTGCGTTTCCTCGACAAAAAACGAAATAACCCATGAAACATGTTCGCGATCCTTGGAATAGAAATAATAATAAAATGTAAAATTTCGATGTAAAAGTGTCCGAGTACGCGGTGTTTTCACTACTGCAAGGATTTAAAAAAAAAAATTGTGTGTTTCCGGTGGACTCTAACTCGTCGAACGCACAAAAACCTGGCTAGTCACTTCATTCTTGCGTTACAGAGTCTCAAAAATTGACATCCCTATCACAGAGCTGCGAGAAATGGTATAATAGTGAACTACTGTTACGTGAATTGTACATTAAATGGACTAATGAAACCCTTTTATGACACAGAATCAAAATATCTTTGCATTATTAAGCCTTAGAGAATGACTGTACTTCGAAGATTTTGGGATTTTCAAGAAAATAAGACTCTTTAACTCAGCATTTTTTTAGTTATATTAATAGACATTGAAAAAAAATTAATATCCCTGCAATGTCATTTGAGTAACCTACAAATACATTTTAAAACGCAAGATAATGACAAACATAACTGGTTTATCATTCTCCAGGTGGTCTGACAATCCAAGGAGTTTTTTCTATCTGTTTTCTGAATTTTAAATTTCTAAGAAATAAATACAGAAAATATCCAATTTTTCTCTATATTCCATCAGGTTTTTGGATATTTTTATTAAGGAAATAGCCCTATCAATTTTCCAGACGGAAAACAGATTCATTATATAGACGAGAAATAGACCTATTTCTTTTCGTAAATAGCGACACTCACTGGAAATTTTCTGTCTACTTTCCATAGTGCTAGCTGCTTTTCCGTTATTTTCAAAATTATTCACATTAATTTTTTTTCCCATAAAATATTTTCATTTTGCTACTCGGGAGACCGAAAAATTACGGTCAGTTCATAAAAAATGGCGGCCGATCCACAGAGGAATAAGTCCTCCACTGCCGCCGACGAATGGGAAGAGTTCAAGGCCGAACTCCGCTCGATGACACCCGAAGAACGCCTGGAGAAAATCATCCACCACTGTTTCTCCGGGAACCTGGAGGCGGCGAAGATATTCCTCCACATCGGTCTCCACGAATCCATGCAAGGGGCGAGGAAACAGATATACAACGCCAGGCTGGAGGTAATCAAGTTCATACTGAGCCCCGCCTTCAGGGTCTTACTCTCTCCACGCAGCAGCTTCGTCTACGACTTGAAGATCACCGACGATCCGAAGGCAAGTTCCCCATTCCCTGGAATGTTGAGCGTGGGTGAATTCCGGCCACGCGGTCGGTTAGCTCACCCGTTGACACTCGCTCAAGGGTTTTTTCTGAGAGGTGAAGAGGCGTACGGGGTCGGCGGCGAAAACTTTTTGTCGATCGGTGCCTTCTCGATCCCGGGCCAATTCGTGATGATCCAGATACCCGTCAACGAGAAAGAAGACATCGAGCTTCGGTTCCTCGACCGGAAGGACAAACCCCAGGGGAAACCCGTAGCTTTGGGAGATCTGGGGACGTTGATGCTGGTCAACGCTGAGGAGCAGGATAAAAGAACGATCGAGTTCTTGCTGAAGCACGTCGACGACGCCCAGGCTCAAGTTGCCGAGCCGCTGCTGTACGTTGCCGCCAGGATGGGAGAAGTGAAGATCGTCAAGTCTCTTCTGGTAAGATAAATGTTACTTTTAAAGGCCCGGCTGTACTATACATGTATGTACACGATTACATTTTTCGTTCGATTCATGTCGATCGAATTCAGACTACCTATCATACTATTTTTTTTTTAACTTATGAGCAATTCGCCTTCTGCTGCGTCTGCAGCAATTGTTGTTATGAATACGTTGTGCGTGCTGATTTCAGCTCATTACTTAGTTGACTCTCTGAAGGCGTTTTATGTGCGAAAGCAATTCGCCTTCACTTGCGTCTACAGCAATTGTTGTTACGAATATGTTGTGCGTGCTGATTTCAGTTCATTACATACTCGACTCTCTGAAGGCGTTTCATGTGGGCAAGTAGCGCAATCTGACGGAGAACGAACGAAGTAGGGATTGAGCGATTCATTCAATCTCACTTCTGATGTTCTCCAACAGGGTGCTTACCGGTGCAGGCGTTTAATGTGCGAAAGTAGAGACTTTCGCACAATAAACGCCTTCAAAGAGTCAAGTGTGTAATGAGCTGAGATCAACGCGCACAACATATTCGCAACAACAATTGCTGCGGACGCAGTTGAAGGCGACCGCCGATAGCCGCAATCAATTGACAGGGGGATCGAGAGGTCACCTGCGCCCAGCACGCACGAGATTGAGGCATGCTCGATGATCAGCAGCGCGCGAGCGGGTTCGGACCCTGACTAAAAACCACCACCACCACCTCCTCTTCCTCCTCCTCCTCCTCCTCCTCCTCCCCCCTTACAAGGCTGCCGTGATAGCGAAGAGAGCCGTAAGTGCAAAATTTTCGAAATCAAGTTTTCTTCAAAATTCGTCTAAACTCTTTTAGATGAAATTACTGAGACAACTAAAACAGCAAAATTCACCCTACTTTAATGAAAACGAGACGTATGAAAAATCCGTAATTGCACAAAAAAATGACATCGTTTTTTTCAAGACAGCCGTAGGTGCATGAGAGCCAATGAAAACAGTGCTTTCCAGTAAAGTTCCGCCCTCTTCTGCCAATTTCTAACCTGAAAATATGTTTGTTGTGCGTCCAAAACGCAACCACGAAAGCATGCAGAAGATAGCACTTAGAGCTGTCTTGCTTAACAATAACCTAGCATGAAAATGAAAAATACCCTTTTTATGTAATGGAAATAAAATCAGTCTATTTTTAATCATCCGTACGATTTCTAGGAGTCTTCCGGACGATTAGTGGCAATTTGACAAAGAACGGAGGCTTCTTTCAATAAAATGTTCTTGTCAGAAGCTTCTGAGCCCGTTTTCTCAAAAATTCATTTTTGCACTTACGGCTCTCTTCGCTATCACAGCAGTGCTTGCTAGACGCTTGTCTAGACCAGAAACAAGAGACCATCCACTCGTAACTCGGCTATTGTGGAAGCTTTTACTTTCGGGACCTCAACAATTAACTGTTGACTTACCTTCATGGTTGATGTTTAACAACGTGTTGGCAGTTGCGTTTTGTAAACGAGCCATAATAAGTCGCAGTTTGGGAAACTTGTTTGGCTCATAACGTCACCCGAAGCTCATCATCCACCATGTACGTGGGTCCACAGCCGAAAAAAGAGTAATAACTGTTGCTCCCTTATAATTGCCCTGGTAAAATTGGCAGTAGAATCTGTGTTCCAAAATACCATAGACCTACGGCCGGCTGTAAGATTTCCAATAGCTACTATAGCCGGCTACACAATTTCTGATAGCCTTTTATATCCGATGGCGATTGAGCAACTCACAGCCGGGCGATAAGGTGTATGCTAAACGTCACTCATTACGGATGCTAGGACTTAGTGAGTTTTTGGACGAGAGTTTTTCCAGAGACCAGTTTTTCTCTTTTTGGGCCGTGATATCTTGATTTATTTTGCGAGGAAAGCTCCGTACTTTTGATGGATGCCTGCCATTCCTAATATATTAGAGCGCCTTCAGTTTCGTATGATACTGTGCAATACCTCTGGTGTGAAATAGTTGCTTCAAGCGCCGTGGCACGCTGCGGTGCGGTAGGCGGGCAGCCAGCGCGAGACGCGCATTGGCGCCTACAAACCTAACAGGGATACTTCACGCGTTGCGCAATGCGTGAAGTATCCCTGTTAGGTTTGTAGGCGCCAGTGCGTCACTGCTCCGCCTTGTGTTGGACTCTAATATTTAATCTGGCGAGTCAGCGTTATTCAACTCATGATTTTGAAATGTTTGCACGTCCTGTATGGATTATTCTCGTTTTAATTGATGAAAACAAATATGTATTAAAGGGAAATATAACGAGTGTTTTGTAAATATTAAGGTGGTTCCGTATCAAACTTAATGATTTTCAAAGCACAAGAATTTCTACACAATTTCTTATAGCATTTTATAATCCAGCCTTTTATAATCGATGGCGAAAAAGCAACGGCCAGGCGAGAAGGTGTAAAGCCCGGCTATAGGAACTAAAGCTCGGCTGCATAATTTTTTATCGCTTCGTATAGCCCGGCCGAATGATTTTCTCCGCATTCTACTGCCAGCTATATGATTTTCTGTAGCCTTCTTTAGCCGGCTATAAGAATCCCTATGGTATTTTGAAACGCAGCTCTTATCGCCAATTATTACCAGAGTGTCCATAAAGAAGTACTGAATCCCCGAAAGTAAAAGCTTCCACCTGTCGCCAAGTGGCCAGTGGAGGGTCTCTTGTCTCTGGTTTTGTCTTGTTGGTTCAAGCCAGTACACGTCGTTTCCTTTACAAAAGAACGTAACTCTAATTCGATGTTGCCAAATTATCCTTCGCAAATTGCATAGTAGGTAAGAAAATCATAGTCGTTCCTACCTGAGAATTCCGCTGATTTTCCTCAGATTCCATGCAAAAATCAACACATTTAGAATGAAAATTGCACAGGAACTTTTTTAAAAGGTTAATTGAATGTTGGAGGCACTTTGGTAACCTTGGAATATAGTTACGTTCCTTCGTTCGGGAGACGACATAGTCAGTACAGCGGGCCGATTATTGAAACTGATGGACAAAGCGATAGACAAAGAAGACATAGGGATCATGGAGCGATCCTATTGGTTGACATGGTTGGTTCTCATAGACTAAGAAAGAAAATGATCGACTAACTGTCGGGTCTTTAGAAGGTTGCCGTTAGTTAGTCCATTACCTACCTCCTATGTCCATTGCCACCACCTGCTTCCACCAGTAGGATCCCTCCAAATCCCTTTTGTCGTCTTTGTCTATAGCTTTAACTATAAGTTTCAATAATCGGCCCGCAGCTCTACGTGGTTGCTTGGAGCTATTACGAAAATTAAAGGAATTTCTGTTAAAATCGAAAAAAACATGAGCTCTAGCTATAACATTCTTCTTCCTATTGACACTACACAAGACATGAAAATTAATTTGTGAAGCTCTGTGACATGATCCCAGGAAAAGAGGGGTTTTAATATGTTATAAGCAAAATGATCTTTATGCGACTAAGCACGAATGATCTCTTTCAGGAGTTGCAGATATGTCTCTCTCACCGTGAACTATCTCTCTCGCACTTACACGCATCCCATAAGAAAAGCTGGGATCAAGTAGCAGCTGTTATTATTAAATTTTCAAAGCTCGTATTTATTTTTAAACATTTCAGACATGTGCTGCTAGAACTTATGAGTCTTAGAATTTAATATATCGGTTGTGATATTTGAATAATCACTGATTTCGGAGCCAGATATTAGCGGTGCCACGTGAGAGATTTTTTTCGGATAGCTGCAGATTCACCTTGAAAACCAAATTTTTAGAAAGACAGTTGGCTACAGCATGGATAGCTACAGCTGGTTTAAAAAATAAAAAAAAAAAAAAAAAAAAAAAAAAAAAAAACCGAGAAAAATAGTTAAACAAAATTAAATACGCAAAAGAATGCCTGGAGCGTTTCGGGTTGTTTTAAATATTCCTGTCAAGCAGAAAACTAAAAATTAAACAGAAATAACTAAATAAAAGAAATAAAAAAAGCCTTGTTGATGTTAGATTGGCGACCCTTAGCCTCTAAGAGCCAACGATGTTCATTTTATCCGTTGAATGTTATGTTAACTTAATTCCTCATTTCCTGTTCCCTATAATTGACAAATATTTATTTATTTATTTATTATAACTTTAGTACATGTTGAGCCCCATTATTAGGGCTATGGCACAGGTCAAAAAATACTATACAATAATTAAAAATATAAATTACAACTGTTACATTTGGTGGTGTTTAATAGAACGTTACACAACAGCTAAATTTAGAAATTCGTTCAAATTATAAAATGCCATCCTTAAAAGTAGATCTCGAAGTAAATTGAAAAATGTCTGTATATCACCGTCGCGGAGTTTTTGTTTAATGTTCCAAGGTAGAGCATTTATAATTTGGATAGGGTTGAAATTACTCAGAAACGTTCCAAGAATATAATTTTGTACGTTCTTGTTATTTACCTATTTTTCTTATGTTTATTTTTTCATCGAATCAGTCAGGGGGCCGTCCATTTTCAACAATCAGCTCGCTCCGGGCTGATTATTGAAGTTGATAGACAAAGAAGACACAGGGATTATGGAACGATCCCATTGGTTGAAATGGGTTGTTCTCATAGACTAAGTAGAACATGATGGACTAACTATAGGGTCCATCGTGGGTTGCCGTTAGTTACTTTATTACCTACCGCCTTCGTCCATTGCAACCACCCGCTTCCACCTATAGGATACTTTCATATCCCTTTTGTCTTCTTCGCCGGTAGCTTCTTCTCTCGATTTCAACAATCAGCCCGCTGACAGCATTACACTCCATAGAGAAAATACAGAAGGTGGTAGCAAAGCAGCCGCCATCTTGAAGATTGGCTGTCACGTAGAAAAGTACAAGGACTGGCGCGCTGTTCCAAAATAAGTACATTTCATGATGGAACCTGTACAAAGAGCTACATCACCACTGAATCTAACATTGAAAGTCATAAAATTGAACATAGTTACCATGACTCTCCAATTTCTGCTTTTCGACGCACAGAACGTGATTTACCATGGTTATACCTTGAAAACGGGACGAGTCGAGATAAAAATTGTGATTATATCGGAATTTACATTTTTAACTTACAAATTATTTCTAATTACAGTCGAACATCGATAAAAAAACACGTTGAAAAATAAAAAGTCAATAATTACGAGTATTCGAGGCCAAAATAAGTGGAAACCTCACAACCTTTCCCGCTCCTTTTTAAATTTCAAAGATGTCTCGGTTTTCCCGGGAAACCATTAACCAATTAGAGGGGCGGATTTATTTTTAGATCTTACGTAGAAAAGTACACTGAAAAAAAATTATTGCTGAAATTGCCGTGCACGCGGGTATTTCAAACGATGGTGTAGCTAGAAAACGAACGTGCAAACCATGCAGGTAAAATCGCTACACAAACAGCTAACTTACACACACGCGTGTAGGTGATTTTGCTACACTGAAAAGCTACGTCTGTTACCTTTTTAGTTATTCCTCCTTAAATTCCGCTATTTCAGCCTGACTATTGAGCTATTTTTACTGTTCGCAAAGTACCAATACCAAAAAATGCAGTTACACTTCCAAGCCACTCGATGCAAGATTAACTGCATGAAGGCACGCAGATGTAGCAAATCGGTGTAGCAATTCGTGCTAGTCGTTCACTTGATTCAACACCGTGCACGGATAAGAAAGCTTTACGAAGTGAAGCAAATTTTGCTCCACCCTAAATCGGTGAATTAGCAATCCTTTTTTTTCAGTGTACATTTCTCCGCTTGCCACCACCTTCTGTACTTTCTCTATAATTACTCTCTATCCAACAGGGAAACGGCATCACGGTGGACGTCCGCGATGGCGAGGATCATTTGGCGCCTCTGCATCTGGCGACGCACATAAAGGCCGAGATGCTGCTCGACATACTGATCCACCACGGAGCAGACGTGAACTGCAAGGACAAATACGAGAGGACGCCACTCCACTACGCCGCCACGCTCGGGTGGACGAGAGGAGTGGAAATCCTGCTGGAGAATGGAGCTACGGTAGACGTGGCGGATACTTTTAAAGAAACGACACCTTTGGACACCGCGTTGGACGGCTCGTACTTCGGGGTCGCGGACCTCTTGATTCGACACGGCGCCAAAGTAAAAAAAGAAAGGTTTAAGAAGTATTTAAGGTTCGCTGCGGAGAAAGGAGACACGCAGCTTGTGAAACTGCTCCTAAGCACCGACTCGATCGACACGACAGGAAAAGCAGAGCGCAAGACAAAGAAGAGAGAGGGAGCGAAAAGAGGTCAGGGCGATCTTAAGGAGTCAAACCAGGGCAAGTGCTCCGATCTGGGAGACAGCAAGGATGGAGTACCTAAAGTCGGTGTTTTGGGGATCAAAAGTGAGGCTTGTTCCGACAGCAGTCAAAATGATACTGGGGAGCCACATCAAAACGACTGCGCTAGTTTGGATGCGAACTGTCTGGATAACTGCAAAATGAAAGGGGCCGATAATAAACCCAGTCCGCGAAGCGCAGGCTCTGGTAACATTGAAAGTGCACGAGACGAGGAGAGTGAACTCTTCGGTAGGGATACAGGCAGCTCTCTCCGCCATCAACACGTCCAAGATGAAGAAGATGAACTTTTCGGGAGGGATGTAGAAGGCTCCCTGAACCATCAACGCGTCGAATACAATGAAGATGAACTTTTCGGTAGGGATGAAGAAGGCTCCTTGGACCATCAACGCGTCGAATACGATGAAGATGAACTTTCCGGGAGGGATGAAGGAGGCTCCCTGAACCACCAACGCGTCGAATACGATGAGGATGAACTTTTTGGTAGGGATGAAGGAGGCTCCTCAAACTCTCAAAGCGCGCAAAATGAAGAGAATCGACTCTTCCGCGGGGATGACGAAGACTCCTCGAACTTTCAAAACGTTCGATTCGAAGAAGCCAGCGAGAAGTTTGATCCTGACGACCTAGTCTTTGATCACGACCTAGGTTTCGACATCGACGACATCTTCGACCCTGATGACAGGTACATTTCCGACTCGGAAAGTCCAAAAGCCAAAGATGAAGTCCGCGACGACGGAGGAATATCCGAGGCGCTGCTGCTCGCGTCCAGAGGGGGCCACACGGACATCGTCCGACTCCTCTTGGAACACGGCGCGAACGTCAACCACATCGAGCCTCCGTGGAGCACGACGGCGCTCCACAAAGCGGTCGCCGGGGGCCACAAACAGGTCATCGAGCTCCTCCTAAACCGCGGCGCAGATCCAGAGATCCCCGAGGTAAAATTCTTCTCGGCCCTCACGATAGCCGCCCTCCGCGAACGCTTCACAACGGATCGACCAGAGTTGACTCCCGGCGACCATGTCCAGATCATCGACCTACTCCTCTCACACGGCGCCGATGTCAATAGCCTCGGCGGCGTTTCGGACCGAGGCCCCCGACCATCCAGCGACGTTTTGGGCGACACCTTCTACTGCGCGTACTCGCATTTGGCGCTGATGATCGCCCTGGAGCTGGGGCTCCCCTTAGACCCTGCTTCGATCCGCCGCCTACGATACACGGTCCAATATCGCGAAAAGCACCACCAGGTGAGAGACCACGAGTACGGCCCGAAGAACATCCTGGGGCGCTACCTGGTCAAGTTGCAATCGGCCGGACTTCTGCCTTTCCCGCTTTTGAACGACGGCTCGAAGGAGGCCGAACATTTGAAGGAGCTCATCGAGGGGGTAGACGCAGTCTTCCCTGACTTTCGGGCGGAGTGTGAGGCGACGGTCGCGAAGATGAAGCGCCTTGTTCCGGGCTGTGGTTTTACGTACCTGGACTTGTTGTCCAAGTCCCCGGATCAGCTGGCTACGCTGTCCCGCAACAAAGCACTGGTCGAATCTGCGATGGGCACCATTGTAAAAGAGTTCCCGCTGTATTGGCTCCTTCTGGAGGGTCGTCTGAACAGAGGAGCAGCCCGGCGGCGCTGGGTGGATGCTGCGAGCCAAATCTGTCACCGGATGTTCAATTGGGTCCTACGGATGCCCTACGACACCCAGCACCCTGATCAGAAGGAGAAGGTACCCTATGAGGTGGTGGAACGGATGGTGAAGTGCCTAAGCGACCGAGACTTGAGGTATTTTGTGATCGGGCATGAGAATGACCCTTCGTGGCAACGATTGGCGGTTCTTATTGATGCGGATTTGGCGAAGGATGACTTATCGCACGATTAGGCTGTTCTATCGACAATTTGTACCTTTGAAAGACTCTTACACTGAAAAATAATCAACGTTTCAGCTAAACTCCTCGCTTATTTTGGCGCCAGTTATAGAGGTATAAGATTTCTGCTCTTTGATTATTTCGACATATTGACTAATATTCTTGCGAGAAAGTAGAGGATATCTGTTGACAGTGAAGGGAAAATTATCCAAAATTTTATGAAATGCAAAAAGTAGGATTTTATTAAAAGTTATTGTGGCCTTTACGTCATTGCTTTTCTGGATTCATTTTCGGAGAAAATGTGAAAATATGTAAAGAAATCATCTTTAATTACTGTAAATTTTCTGTTATTAAGAAAAAGAAGCAACGTATTTGTTTAGCGTGTAATCCATACAAATTGACGAAAAAGAAGACAACAGCTTGTCTTAATTCTTGCTATTCAATTTACATCATGTGTGTGTTTCACTTTATAAAATAAAGTATTCCATTTTATGCATCATACATTTTTGTCTGTTTGCCCTTCCATCATCTGCCATGCCCATCGCAGAAAAAGAAGTACATGATAGAAAAATAAAACATGAATTATAAATTTGACTGATCTGAGCAAAATTGTTGGCAAGAACTATATACTGAACTCAACAGGACCCCCTAATTCGTCGCCCTCTGACGATATGGACGTATTTCTGTCAAACGAAACTATGTGCATTAAGACATGAGCCCTGAGATCCATAATAATACATGCATAACAGGGCTTACGTCATAATGCACATAGCTCAATTTGACAGAAATACGTCCATATAAAGGACGTATCTCGATTTCCACGTGAATCCTGTTGTTCAAAAAATTTCAATGCTTTCCAGGGTTCATGCAGGGTGTCTACTAAGACAGGTTGGCCAAAAATCAGTACTTTTACAGTACTTTTTCCAGTCCATTCCCAAGAAATTCAGTACCTCCTCATAAGAGAAATTCAGTACTTTTTCAGTGCCTCCAACTGACGAAATTCGAAAATTTTCAAAAATTTGAATTTCTCACTCGAGTTGCGACGAAAGTGACAAAAATTCCAGGCCTTCTCGCAAAATTCCGCACTTTTTCAGTACGTCGAGACCGCTTTTAAAAAATCAGTACTTTATGCGGACTTTCCGGAAATTCCGGACTTGTAGGCACCCTGCTCATGTGAAAAAATAGATACGCCCGACCAAAGACATTGAATAGAGCGCCCGACACGTCAGAGAAACGACAAGTCGTGAAAAATATGAGAAAGAAAAACATCCCTGACTAGGCTGTTATATTAGGAAATAATAATCCTCTTTAATAGTCTAACGAAGGCTTGATAACCAGACGCCTCTATCAGTAGAATTTGAACTGGAAGCAAATTCCTAGAGATAAATATATTTTTTTCCAAAAAAAATGTGACTCTTTAAACACGTACAAACGCAAGTTTTACGTGCTTTGTACGCTGAAGCTCTAAAAATTCAGTAGTAACATATAGAAAAGCCTTAGCATCTCCTAGAAAAGGTCCGATCATGTCAAAATATAGGTGTAGCATAGTTATATTTTTGCGATCCATCTTCCTCCGTTTACTCTTGGTGTTGAAACCCGAGACAAAAAGTGATTTCATGAACATCCCAAGGAACATTCAAAAAGAGAGTACCTCTGACTTATCTCAATGGAGAATTTGCAGGTTTCTAAACTTTGATGAATTTCGTATTTTAATGTGAAAGACCTTGGATGAACCCCTACTTCTTCTTTGTGTATACATTTTAATAATCAGCCCGCAGAAACGATGCCATCACTGATTATCAGTTCAATATTCCGAAGACGAAAGCATCGATATTGCATTTGCGGGACTGCTTAGGGTACGAAGTTTTTCGCACGGTTAAGAAGAATAAAAAAAGAAATAAACTACCGCACGTCGATTAAAGAGTGCAGTGGCCCAAAACCATAAATTAGTAGGCACTTTTGAATCGACCATACGTTTGCTAAACGAATATATTACACGTAATCATTTTAACTTCAATTTAAAAATGCTACTCACTTGGCAGCTGGAATAAGGGATTGAAGAGGTTTTATTCTTACCTGCGAACAAACAATAAACACATATTTATCAATTAAAAAAAGATTCAACTCATGCTAGACGAAAAAGAAAATTCAAAGATTTTCAAAAAGTTATAAAGTCCTGAGTGGTTGATGGTTTCATTCATGCATTTTTCTGAAAGACAGAAAGTCAGTGGCAAAAATATTGAAAGTGGCAAATCATTTTTATCCTTCGGAAAGATCCATTTTCAAAGTTATACTGCTGAATTTTTCTCGCGGTCTGCACAAGTTGTCATTTTTACGATGCTATTTTAAGGACTTCATTGACCCCTGGATGTCCATGATTTTTTCGCTTCGCTCTTCGTTGCCGATGTGCACTGAAAAAAAGTGAAGTTGATTCAACATTCTGGTTGTAAAAAAAGTGTGCGAGAACTTACAAAATGCTAAATTAACTGCTAAAGCAGTTACTTTAGCAATGTCAAGATGAAAAATTAACTGCTGTGGCAGGTAATTTAGTATTTTGTGAGTTCTCGCACACTTTCTTTAAATCCAAAATGTTAAATCAACTTCACTTTTTTTCCGGTGTGGTGTAGTTTAAATTCAGGGGACAGTTTTAAAAAATGAGGCCCGATTAAGTTCTCCCTCTCTTCGGCTGCGTTGCTCACGTAGCTCTCGAAACACCGCTACAAATAAGACAAACGGAACCAACACAAAATGGAAACAGAAGAACACGCGTTGATGACGGCGCAGAGATACAACTATTCGTACTTGACAGATGTCAAGGTTGCATAGAAGCGAAATTGAAGGCGCCATGGCGTGAAGCTTAAACTCACAATGCTTCATTCTATGCTGACGGTGAGTTGTCGCTCAGATTCGAGAGAAATTTTAAAACTTGAGATCCGAATACGTCCCTCATGCTGTGTTGCTCACATAGCCCTAGAAGCGCACCACTACGGAAAAGACAAACGAAAGTAAACACAACATTGAATGGAGCGAAGGAACGGACGAAAGTTGTAACGGCGCAGAGATACAACTATTCGTACTTGACGGATGTCAATGTTGCATAGAAGCAAAATTGAAGGCGCCATGGCGTGAAGCGTAAACTCACAATGCCTCATTCTTCTTTGTCCGTGAGTTGACGCTCAGATTCGAGAGAAAATTTAAAACTTGATATCCAAATACGTCTCTCGTGCTGTGTTGCTCACATAGCCCTAGAAGCGCACGACTACATAGAGGACAAACGAAAGTAAACACAACATTGAATGGAGCGAAGGAACGGACGAAAGTTTTAACGGCGCGACGCAGAGATACAACTATTCGTACTTGACGGACGTCAATGTTGCATAGAGGCAAAATTGAAGGCGCCATGGCGTAAAGCGTAAACTCACAATGCTTCATTCTATGCTGTCCGTGGGTTGTCGCTTCGAATCGACAGAAAATTAAAATTAGAGATCCAAATACGTCTCTCGTGCTGTGTTGCTCACATAGCCTTAGAAGCGCACCACTGCGGAAAAGACGAACTGAAGTAAACACAACATTGAATGGAGCGAAGGAACGGACGAAAGTTGTAACGGCGCAAAGATACAACTATTCGTACTTGACGGATGTCCGTGTTGCATTCGAAAAATTGAAGGCGCGATGGCACGAGGCGTGGACTCGCAATGCTCCGCTCTATGCTGTCAATGAGGTATCGTTCACATTCGTTCACATTCGAAATTGAGAAACAAAGCCCGAGTGCGTCTCACCTAACTTTGGCTGTGTTGAAATTCGATTTTTTTTTTCAATTTAAGTCAGATGCCTTTTTCAGGAAGCTATATCTGAAGCTCGTACACATCCGTACTAATTGTAAACTCTTCAGCTGTTTTCAATTTTCCGCACAGGTTCCTCAACGTACTCATGCTTTAAAAGCCGTACAGTGGATCGAGTCAATTAGAGAGGTCGGACAAGAAACTATTGACTAAAACTGCAAATTTTGATGTTTATTTCGTCTCACTTTGAACTTTAAGGGGTGCTTCTCGAAGAAAATTTCACGAGAAAACCAATGGAACCACTTTAAGAACCTCAAAGATTCGTATGAACAGAGTTACAGGCGTTTAAAGTTTCAAATTTTGTCCGACCTCTCCCATCGACGCGATCCAGTGTGAGCCGTGCTAAGTAAAAATGCCGTTTAAGCATTCGAATTGCCAAATATCTCCTTTGAAAATTTTTATTATTGAGGAAAGTTATGATTATTATTCCTGGGAATTTTCAGCCTTCTTAGATCAAATTCCAAACGAAACCTTGCGTTGAATCTTCGGAGAAATATTCAAAAATTTCCCTGAAAATCCGGGATATGTCGGAGGAAATTTGGCAACGCTTGATGGCCCATACGGCGTTCTCACTCAGCAAATTTCTTCCTTGAAAATATTTGTTTTTGAAGAAAGTTACAAATATTATTCCTGGAAATTTTCAGACTTTTTAGATCAAATTACAAACGAAACCCTGCGTTGAATCCTCGGAAAAATATTCAAAAATTTTCCTGAAAATCCGGGATTTGTCGGAGGAAATTTGGCAACGCCTGACGGTTCATACGGCGTTCTTACTTAGGACGGCAGTAAATGGCTCCGGCAAAACCGAATGCATTACGCACGCAACGGAAACATATTGAAACGCGGCGAACCGCCACCGAAGTGACTTATTGGCCCGCGGCAATGACTGGAGGGGGGAGGGGGGGTTTGTAATCGGGTCTTCGAAATCCTCGCAGCGTATGACTTCATTCTACCCGTGCGCTTGAGCCCCCCCCCCCGGCTTTTCAGAACCCCCCACCCCCTCCCCCTGGAAGTGCCCCGGGTCCTTTCAGCGCGGCCCTGGATCCGAATTCGCATTCAGTCCGCGCCATTTGATGCCATATTAGAGAATTTTAGCTGCGGTGCCGAATCTGAGGGCAAATCGCAGGATGTGTCTAGAATCCCTTCATACAGAGAGTTAAGACAGTGTGAATCCATTTCTGATTGGTTCCCGTATTTGAGGCCTCCACAGTGTCACAAACAAGAATAAAGGTTACATTTTCATCGATGGAGAATTTGCATGCAAATTTTTTATTGCTTCATCTGAAAGTGCTTAAAGAGCTGATCTCACAGAATTTTTTATAATTTTTTTCTGATACGGGAAATTGTATAAAATCGATTTAAAAGTGAGAAAATGTGCCGCTTAATGACGTAATCTGGCGACATTTCCCATGTAAACACATGTATGTTAGCAGATTCGATCATTTTGTCTAATCTCCTCCAATAATTGTTCAATTCATGAACCAAGGGTATCCTCGTGTTTAGTTCACTCAGTAGTTTCCACTCACACTTGAAATTCATCAAATTTCAGACACCTGCAAATTCACTATTTCCAAGTTTATAAACTGGAATGGACCGGGGAATTGGGGGCACGGCAAGGAACAAACGGAATGAAAGAAGGAACGGAGACAGGAATTTGAG